CTCTTGTCCTTCCAACTTTTTGTCTCTCAGGCACTCAGCTTCCCTTCACAGAGGCAAACAGTGATGCCAGTTTCTTGTGTTTTCATCCATCCAGAGAATGTCTCAGAACACAGCTTTTACAATATATTGAGGGGAGCATAGAAAGATATTTAGAATAGGTCTGTAATGTTGGTAATGCTTTCGGGCACCTAGCCATTGCGAGGGGATATTGTGACTGTTAAAAGGGGCAGAAACTTTAGAAAGATACACTTCCACGTGGGTAACGGCGCTACACTCTGACTCTGCTTCTGTGCTGCACCTCTCTGCCCGCCAGGGCAACCACACTGTGAACGTTAGCCGAAAGGGTGTGAGAAACGAAACCCGGAAAAACTCAGCCGACTGAGCTTTTGTAGTGAAAATAGATTTAATTTAGATTTCTTTTTTTCCCCAGCTCTATTGAGATATAATTAACATAATATTGTGTAAGTTTACAGTGTACAATGTATTGATTTGATACATGTATGGATTACAGAATGTTTCCCGTAAGTTAACACAAGCTTTACCTCACATAATTAACGTTTTGTTGTTATGGTGAGAACATTAAAGCTGTCTGCTCCTAGCAGCTCTCAAATATACAACGCAGTGTTGTTACCTGTAATCACCGTGCCATTCATTAGATCCCTGGACTTCATCCAACCCGTAACTGAAAGTTTGCAGCCTTTGAACAGTGTCTCCCTTTCCCCCACTCCTCAGCTCCTGTAAACCACCCTTCTGCTCTGCTCTGAGTTTGTTGCTTTGGATTGCTCTGTCTGACTTAAAATAATGCAGCCAGGGTTCATCCACATTGTAACAAATGTCAGGAATTTCTTTTTGTGGCTGAGTAATACTCCATTTTGTATATGCAGGGTGAGGCCAAAGTAGGTTTACAGCTGTTTGTATGGAAAATAATAAAATAATAATAATATAGAAATAAACTGTGTTTTGTGTACTCACAACTGTAAGCCTACGTTTGCTCCTCCCTGTATAATACATTTTTCTTTATCCATCCATCGGTTGGTGGGCACTTGCATCGTCTCCACGAATCGGCTGCTGTGAACATGGGGGTGCGGGGGTCCCTTTGAGGCAGTGATTTCCTCATCTTCAGACATGTGTACCTGGCAAAGGGGCCGCCACATCACATGGTAGTTTCATTTTTAATTTTTTGAGGAACCTTCGCACTGTTTTCTGCAGTGGCTGTGTCAATTTATATTTTCACCAACAGTGCACCGGGGTTCCCTTTCCTCCACATCCTCGCCAAACTGTCTTTTGCCTAATAGCCATTCTAACAGGTGAGATTGTATCTCATCGTAGTTTTGATTTACATTCCCCTAATGGTTAGTGATGTTGAGCACCTTTTCATGTATTTGTTGGTCATTTGTATGCCTTTGGAAAAATGTCTTTTCAAGTCTTGTGTCCATGTTTTAATCAGATTGTTTGCTATTGAGTTGTATCAGTTCCTTTTTTTTATAATAACCCTTTATCAGATACATGATTTGCAAATATTTTCTCCCAATTCTATAAGTTGCCTTTCATTTTGCTGATTGTTTCTTTTTGTGTACAGAAGCTTTTTTAGTTCGATGTGGTCCCACTGGTTGATTTTTGCTTTTTAGTCTCGTATCCAAAAAGTCATCACCAAGACCAATGTCAAAAAGCTTTTTTCTGAAGCTTTCTTCTAAGAGTTTTATAGTTTTGGGCACATTTAAGTTCTTACTCCATTTTGAGTTAATTTTAAGAGTGATTTCAGATAGCGGCCCAATTTCAGTGACGGGGACAGATTTAAAATAAAATCAGAGTGATCACCTATTGATGGTATCTTGGATTTGGGCTTTGGAAAAAGGAATCGATAATAGTACTCAGGTTTCTGGCTTTGGTGACTGAGGAGATGAGATATTCTTCTTTAAAGCAGAGATTAAAAATGGGGTAATAGATCTCTCAGAGGAAATGAGTGACTGTTGAGTTTAAGATGTCTGCAGATACCCGTGTAGATACCCGTGTAGAACTCTCCAATGGGAAGTGTATGAAGTGAGCCTGGGAGTCGGTCACAAGCTGTGGGCTGGAGGTGTAGGCCTGAAAGTCGTGAGGACGCAGTGCGAGTTATGAGAGCATGGAGGCGATGACATCACCCAGGAAAGGGTGCAGTAGCTGGAGCTGGGTATTCACGGCACTTGGCCAGCAGCAGGATGTTGGAACAAATGGAGGGTTTCAAGAGTACATACAGTCTCATTTACCCTCCTAACAGCCCTGAGTTAGGAGTCTAATCCCACTTTTACAAGTGAGAACATTCGAGCTCAGAGTAGTTAAGTGATTTTACTGAGAGTGAGTCTGCGCTAAGTGGTCAGAATGGGATTTCAAGTCCAATCTGTATGATTTCAAAGCCCATCTTTTTCTTACCGTGTCTTACTTCTTTGTAAACCTCAAGTTTAAATAAAATGGTGTTACCATTATTTTTTTCTTTACCGCTGCCAGTATTCTGGTTTAGTAAGATTGTGGTACGTCCTTTTAAATAACCTTTTTTTTCTCTGAATCCCCCTGCTCCATCCCTGAACACATCTGTCAGATTACCTTTTCTGGGAGGCTGACTCCTGGTACTCACCCTCTGGCCCAGTGTCTGCTTTAAAACCACAGACTGGACAGCAGCCCTCCGCTGGCCCCCGAGAGAGGCCCGTCAGCCTGGCGTGCAAGGCCACCGTAGAATCACCAGAACCGTTCAGAACGTTTCCACATTTCCCGCATCTCATCGGTACTTATTCATGTATCCGGATGTCGTCTACATGCAGATTTCATTGCGATGATCTCGGTGTTCTTTATAAGGATTTCATTTTAATGTTTAAATTAATTTTTAACCTTTATATTACTCTTATTTTTACTCTGTTATTGTTTTTCTTGAAATGACTCTTTGTGGTGGAAGCAGCTTACATGTCATCTGACATGAGTTCCATGTCATTGCAGGGGCTTTTTGTCCACTCACTTCTAATGTGATAAGGCAGTCTTTGCTCCTACATTTTCCTAGAAGGATCCTTTTTTTTTTTCCTTTTTTTTGAGAGGAGGAGAGGAGAGCAATTCTAATCATTAGAAGCTTAAAATTAGAAATATTCTCAATATTGAGTCAAAACCTTCCTTTTAACACGTTTGTTTCCAGGGCCTGCCCCAAGAACGGCCCTGAAGTCGGTCCTTTCTCCTTTGCCTCCCGCAGTGTCATCAGCCATTTCAAGATAGTTCTCATTCTCTCCTTAGAGACGTAAGCCAAATAATCGTGTTTGCTTGGACCTTTTCTCCTATGACAGGTCTTAAATTTTCTCCTGAGGACTCTGGAGTTTTGTTGGTGCCCCACCTTAAAACACGGGTCCCGGGACACAGCGCCCCACGGGAGAGCAGGACAGCATTCTTCCTTTGATCAGGGCCCTGTGCTTGCATCTTAAAAGCCTGAGATTTCTGCAGCTTTATAGCAGCCATGTTACACTGTACATTCATTTCTAAAATACCCAGATACGATTTGTACATAGGTGGTGGTTTCGCCAGCTCCCCCCTCATCTACTACTGTGCAGTTGCTTTTCTTTCATCTTGAGAACTTGCCCACTTTCCTAGTTATGCATTTCAGCCAAGTGTGGTCATGTTATCCAGTGTGTTGTTAACCATGTTTCCCAGTTTTAGGGCATCTGGAGATTTCGAAGCATACTTTCCATGTCTTCTTTTAAGTTCTTAATAAATATTGCAAAAACCGAGACTCTCCGGCTCATCTGCCAAGTTGATCAGTGCTACTTAGAAGGGTCCTGTTAACCACTTTGCTGTCATCCACCTTTACCTCGTCACCATCTCTGCAAAGGTCTCACTTGTAAATTCAGCCGAGTTCATTTGGTGCCCACCACGTGTCAAGAGGTGCTAGAGACAGTGAAGCCAGAACCCCTGTCTCGTGGAGCTAGCGATCCAGAGAGAGCAGGAAGTATTGTGTTAAATGTTCTGCAGAATCTGGTCTACACAATTCACTAAGGTATTCTCTTTATTTGGTACCATATCAGAAAGGGAAATAATGAATCATTTCTTTTTGCAGACTTTATGTTAACTACTGATGGTCTGTCACCTGAAACTGGGGTTCCTTTCCTTTCTCTTCTCACCTTCCCTGATCTCACAGCGGTTGTGGGCCCTGGAAGTCTTTGCGGTTTGGCTGCGTCTTTGCACGCCCGGGCTCAGTACAGAGCAGCCTGTTCGGCCACATTTCTGTTGTGGGTTATATGAACATGTCATTTTTTTCGCCCCGTATTTGGGTCCATTTTTATTTTTTAGTAAACTCAGTTGTGAATTTCTGTTCAACTTTAGTCATTTTTTCTTCCACAATCTTTGTCAGTTAGATTTTATATTTTTCTTTATATTTTGAAATGATTTTTCCTAAGGAGATTAACTGAGTAGCCTCAAATTTTCTTTTTAATTCACTAGAATTAATCCCAGATGGGCTTAGAACTGCAAAGTTTTATCTGTATTCCAAGGGATTAAACTACCAAAGTGCAAGTTTTTTTTATTAGAATGACACAGAGAGCAGACGTCCTCATAGTCTGTAGAAGACAGCCCACCCGTCGTCTTCGCAAGCACGGATTTTCACCATCGGTCAAGTGCAGTCCGCGTCCCCCTTCCGGCCAGTGCCCGCCCTCGTGTCATTTACCCGCTCTCTCCCCTTCGCTCCGCTCTCTTCCTCTGTGGTAGGAGATACTCGGGTTGTGGGGTTTTCACATAGACATATATTTTCTCAAATAATTGTAAGGAGTTTCTGCCTTTTTCTGTGGATCTGTCTCTGTGGAACAGCAGAGTTCCTGTAGCGGTTAGTCCATTGTTACTGCCCATCCCACCAAACCGTGGTGATTTCCATGAGATTCTATTTATCTCCTCGTTCCTTTTTACTATTGCTGCTTTTAAGTGTCGTGTCTGACACGCTGATGTTCAGTAAGTCCTATTTATGATTAACCTCACGAAGTGTTTGCCCTCTCTTTCAGGCTGTGAGGACATCATTGCTGAGAGCATCTCACTAGATACCCTAATTGCCATCCTCAAGTGGAGCTCTCATCCATACGGCTCTAAATGGGTGCACCGACAAGCTTTACATTTCCTCTGTGAGGAGTTCTCCCAGATCATGACTTCGGATGTTTTTTATGAACTCAGCAAAGACCATCTGCTTACTGCTATCCAGTCTGACTACCTGCAGGTAATCATTTATGCACCTCCCAGAGTCATTGTCATTCATCCGTGCACCAAGAAACCCATCCGCACTCTATTATTGTCACATCGAGGGAGATCGGCCCCCTGGGAATGGCCTCTTCACATTTGTACAGCAAAGCCTTGTAGCTCTGGTCTCCGTGCACCCTGCTGCTGTGACTCGACAGTGTGAACCGCCCCGGGTCCTGACTGACCACACCAGAGGCGCTGCCAATATAATGTTTATACTACTTAATAGTTTCAGCTACTTATTTTTAATCAGAAGTGGTTTTTAGCAAATTCTGTGTTCTTGATTTATATATCCATCTAATTTGGTAATTAAAACTAACAGTAGATTTAAAATATTGCAAAAATTTTCAGGTAAGGTATGTTCAAGCTTAATTTTCTTTTGCATCGGTTTTATGAATTTTATGCTGAAAATTGTACAATAGTTTTAGTGTTAGGAAGACACAAAAACCCAGTGATCCATTTCTTATTTTTTATAGTTGTACTAGAGAAGTTATAAAATGTCATCTCTGTCAGAAATGCAGTAAAGACTTAAATGCCCCACTTGGCATCCGTGCTTTGATTGCAGTGCAAACGTTGTTATCTTGGGTTTGGTTTATTGGGGTCTGTGTCTGTTAGCCTCGTTTGACTGTCCTGATCCAGACCCTGTGCATTATGGGATTTAGGGTTTGTCAGTTTTCTCAGATTATTGTCTTTAGAAGCTTTGTGTTTCTTCTTAGAAAGTAAAAACCTTGGAGAGCAGCCTAGATTTGCTTTACAATTTTAGATGAAATACGAAGAAATGAGGGACACATGCCATTTCACAGACGGTGCCCGGCGGGTCTTCCACCCGTCAGTAGAGCACCTTGTGGGGTTGCTCTCGCAGGAGAGGGTGGCCGCCGTGCATCCGTGTGCTGTGAATTGTATTTATTTACCTCATTTTGTCCCAAAAAGAATTCAAGGCAGCTGTATGAAGACCATATAGTAAGATAAAATAAAATAGGTGAAGGGAACAGGATAAAGGAAAAAGTAAAGATGGAAATAAGAATAAAAATTTAGTTAAAGCCAAGAGTGAAGTAACTGGACAGAACCCATGTAGTACAGGCTTGTGTGTTTGCTGTTCGTGGATGGACCACAAGTTTTCACTTAAACATGTCAGACGGCCCGTGGGAAGAGTGAAATGTGGTAGGGAAGTTGCACGCTGTATTTACGACTTAGTAGAAGTCATTAATGAAATTAACCATTTACCTAATTTCAACAAAATAAATATAAACCATTTTTTTATTATAGGCAAGTGAACAAGATATCCTTAAATATCTGATTAAATGGGGTGAGCACCAGCTGATGAAAAGAATAGCAGACAGAGGTAAGCTCAGAAAATTAGCTTGCACTGTTTTTCCCAAAAGCCCCCTGACATGAACATGTCAGTCTTAACAGTATCCACTGTTGCCTGGTGGAAATAAAAATTTTTATAAGTGGAAAGGGTATGCCTTGTTGGAAATAAATATACCAAAAAATTATATTTTACAGTTTTAAAAGGATACTTTCAATGTTACTTGTCCATGTACTTAATATTAAATGTTGACTGATTTACAGAAGTAGTAGAATGAAATTTTTCATTGAATGATTAAAGTATTACAGTGCATCTTGTTGATGAAACTGTCCTGGAATTAGATAGCGGTGATGGTTGCACAACGTAGTAAATGTATTAAAAGCCACCGACTTCTTCTGCACTTTCAGATGGTGAGTTTTATGTTGTTATGTGGGTTTCACCTGAATAAAAAAATGCATCTTTCCCTTTCTTTCTCCTTCTCTTCCCCCTCTCTAAAAATGAATAAATAAAATCTTAAAAAAAAATATGTGACTTTCCCCCAAAAGCATATTGCTGTTTATTTTTAAATTTTGTGAAGGTCAAGGAGAAATGATTTTGAGTGGTCTCCAGCTGGGGATGCTCTGGAAAGGATGGAAGCATCATTCGTAGGAGGTGGGCTTTCAGCTTTGGAAGCTCATGATTCTTTTATGTATAACTAGAGTTAGTCTGCTTGCCTATACTCATGGGAAATTTCCTCATGGAATATTTTACGCCTATATAATGAACCGAAAAAAAAACTTTAATTAGAAAATTTAAATAACAGATTTTCCTTCCTGTTACTTTTCAACAGCTTTATTTATTTTTTATTTTTTAGAGTTTAAAGCGAGAGTTTCATTAGCGAAGCAGTGACACAGAGAAGGGCTGGTCCCAGGCAGAGCAGCTCGGCCGCTTTGGGTGTAGTTCACAGATCACAGAGTTGGGCTCCTTCGGGGTCCAAGTCACTCGTTAGGAGTAAGTTTATAGCGTTGTTCTGCCACATTTTTAAACACATAAAAATGCCAAGCTAAACTGCCTTTAAACCTTTTAATATATCCCATTAGTATGCTACTATGCAAGTGCTGGGGAACAAAAGCAGTTTTCCTATTTGATTTCTCCCAGTTTATTTCTCTGTGGCCTGCAGAAGCCTTTAGCAATTCCTAGATTTGAATTTTTAAATATAATAACCACCATTAATTTGGGACATTTTTGAAATGGCAGTCAGTACACAGTCTGTCCTCCTTACCTTCACACTGTGTATTTGCACATTCGCCTACTTGCTAAAATTTATTTTCAGTCCCCAAATCAGTACTCTTGGCCCTTCCACGGGCATTTGCCGACGCATGCAGAGACAAAAGATGTGATTCCCTTGATGCACATGTTCCAGCTCAAGGTGATGCTCTGCCTTCCTGTTTCCGCTCTCATACTGTAAATGTGTCCTCCCAGTGTGTCCAGCGCTAAGTTTTCACTCTCTTGGGGGCTTGGGGAGGTGATCTCCTCGTTTAACGTGGCCTCCAGGTGTAATGCTCAGCGCCGTTCAGTGTTCCCAAGCACAGGAAGACTGATGTGTCCCACGGAGAAAAGGTGTGTTAGGTGAGCTTTGTTCAGGTATGAGTTACAGTGCTAGTAAATCAATGTATGTATTTAAAAGGTGCCTCTAAATAGCAGCACACCTAAAACAAAACTATATCTTGACCAGTTGTCAAAATGTTGTGACCAGAGGCTCACAGTAATCTACCCCGTGTTTCCCTTGAGAGCAGTGGTTCAATATTTGCTAATTAGTTGTTCTTGGGTGACTCTGTAGTGCAGAACTACCCCACACAGCAAGAATTGGGTGGATGTAATGTTACATTACTAATCATCATAGGCCATAGGTTTTTTTTTCATTGACATAAGGTTGATAGTGTCATATTTATTTTGGGCAGATAATGAGCATCCTTGATAACCTTTCCCTGGGTTAGAATGTCAGGCTCGTTCACAAGGATGAGAAGGAAGCCAGGCGAACTCGGCTGCACACTTGTTTCAGTCACCTTCGTAGATGAGGGCTCTGCCCTTGTTACGTATTTGGGAGTTTAATATAAGACTTCATTTGAAAACAGGTGCCACTAGTAAAATTTTTTTTGAGAAACAATGCATTGTATACGTACGAAGCCAGATCATAGCAAGTTGAGGACAAAAACTTTGTTTTTTATATACTTGTAGCAATTTCATTTCATACCACTCCAGTAAAAGCTTAGCTTCTCAAAAACAGTCTTTTTACCTTTCCATCACTTAATCCATTTAAGGGAAATACCAGTTTGCCTACAGACTTGGCAAAACATTTAGCATTTATATTCAGGAATAGTATATTTTTTTAAATACAGCCCTGTAGATTAAAGACATGATAAAGATTCCCCAAATTTATGTAAATTTTTCCTACTTCAATATAATAAGCATATAAATACTTCAAATCTTCCCCTTTCACTAATACCCAATTAGGAAAACCTTTGTTCTCTGCTCTGGACAGTGGAAATATATTACATGTCAGAGATCAGAGGCTTCACTTTTAAAGGTCTGTCCAGAAAGTCTCCAGCCATGTAATAGGAAAAATAGAGACATTTATTGAAGAAGATACAAGAAACATTGGCACTTTGGGTCCTCGCACAGTTCTCCTAGTTGCCATCAGCTGCCCCGTCATACTTTCCTGAATCTCATCAACGGTCTGAAATCTCTTCCCTTTCAAAGGTGGTTTTAGTTTTGAAGTCTTAGGGCACCAAATCTGGGCTCTAGGAGGGCAGAGTCACCTGGGTGAGATGATATTTCACCAAAAAACTCTGCACAAAATGTAATGCATGAGCGGGCACATTGTTGTGATGAAGCTGCCAATCACCAGCTGCCTATAGCTGTGGCCTTCTGAATTGTCCCAATGGTTTCTGTGGAGGAATGTTCAAACTTAACACAACATTTCATGCAGATCTGTTGGTCTACCTGCTCAGTCATCTTGAATGTGACGTCCACACAGTGCACATGCTCACTCAGTGGCTTCTACTGCCCCCACTGACTAGTACAGTGAGGTTGTCGTTGTTCACACATGTGCATTCCAGTCCTCTCTCCTTGGCTTCTGGGTTATATTGATGTCACGCAACCATTCTCGCTGTATTAACAATAACTGGACTTTTTCGGGACAGACCTTTATGCACTAACGTTCCCACATTGTGGAAATTTAGGAGACTATCATACAAATCTTAGAATGCCCTTTGTTTTGCTGCTTTAGATAGCAGGAGGTCAGTATCTTGTTAAGTTGCTGTTAAACAAGTGGTAGCCTAATGAGTATACCTTTAAACTACAGTGACCGGAAATAGCACTTCCCTGCAATGTCCTAAAGACTGGTCACAAAAGCACAAAAGCGTAAGAAAAAGCCCTGGGTCAAACTAGATTTTAATAGATTGTCATCTTCTTTCCTTTGAGTTAGTATATGGAAAAGAAGTCTTTATCCTTTAGTGCAGAGCAATCATAAAGGAATATTGCTGCATTTATGACTCCATGGTTTTTCTCTGTCCAAGAACATCTCTGTAACTAGCCTGCATAAAACACAGACATAATTCATAACCCTTTTTAAAGCAGATGTACTTAGGTACAAAGGAAGGTACTGAAAGTGAACTAGAGAAGAAGGAAAGCCTTTCTCTGGAAGTCTGGGATCAGTTGGCAACTCTGGTTTTCTGTCTCACAGAGCCAAACTTACTGAGCGGCACTGCTCACAGCGTGAACAAGCGAGGCGTGAAAAGACGAGACCTGGACATTGAAGAGCTTCGAGAGATCCTTTCTCCTCTCCTGCCTTTTGTGCGAACTGAACACATTTTACCTATAAACAGTGAAGTCCTAGGTGATGCAGTAAGTCTGTCCTCATTGATCCCTTTCATGAAAAGAAAATGCACTAGAAATGTACGGACTTATCTTTGTTTATCGTTGTAAATAATTTCTGTTACTAATGAAGTGTTGTGAAAGTCTAAATTCCATGAGGTCAGAGACAGATGTCTGTTTTGTGCTGTGTTGTATCCCCTGTGTCTGGCACTAAAAGAGGGTAGAAATTACCTTTGGAGACCCTTCAAGAGCAGCAATAAATTAGCAGACAAAAGGAAAAGGGAATGAATGGTTCACTGTAAAAAGGATGAATAAATCTTTTAGTGGTATTTCAGTTAAAAATTAATGGAAATGATCATGCTAATTTTATAAGTTTTAAATGATTTTTTAAACTAATAGAATTGTTCAAATTAATGAATGGGAAAATAAATATAAATAGTAGTTCCTCATGCATTGGTTTGTAACTTTAATGTAATGCTGTAAACATAATAGTTTTTAAAAGTTCTCTAAAAAGAACATAGGGATAACTCTTCCCCAATGTAAAATACATGTTTAAACTCTCATTTAATATTTAATCTGTGATGCTAGCATAGCAGGCAAGACAAAATAGTCTGGGAAAAGATCCTAATTAATAAAAGAATTAAGCATAAACGAGCTATCACAAATCAGTACGGTATTAGACTAACTGATGAATGGGGGAGAGGAAGGAAATGTGTCTAAAGTTAAATCCTCATTTCCTTTGCACACAAAACTGATCCCTCTTAGACTGAAAAATTAAATATTAAATTAAAACATAGAACACTAGAAAAAATTACATATTTCTGGAATCTGATTAGATAAAATACTCAGTCTCACTAGTAATCACATACCCCAAAGAAAGCAAAATAAAGCAATGTTACCATTTTTTTCACCTGTTAGATCAGTAATTTTTGAAATAATATTACTACCCAATAGGGGAAGTATAGCTAGAAATAGCCTAAAAATCTAAGAACAGGAAAAATAAATAAATTATACTGTAACTACTCAACAGAATATTTTGCTACCCTGAACAGTGCTTGTAATTACTAATATAGCAACATGGAAGTTGCTGATAATAGAATATAATTTTAGAAAGAAGGGTATAAAATTTTATGTATTCTAGAGTGCAGTTATGTTAAAATTCATTTGAAAATAGGAAGGAAATACAGTGACATTGTTACAGTTTTAATAGAGTTGAGTTTTCTCTTTTTTAACCACCAATTCTACATATTAAAAATCACTTTAATGCAGCAATTAGACATGTATTAGGTTTAACAAGAATATTGGAGAAGCAGAGTTTGGTTTTGTTTAAAATCTAGGATTCAAACCAAGTTGAATCTTGAATTTTAGAAGACTGTTTTTGTTTTAGAACTTTGGTTTAGTAGACTTAGAAAAAAATATATCGCTGCCCTTAATTCCATGGATACCGCATAATAAGTCCCCAGTAAAAGTTTGCTAATCAAGGCTGTTAATTGGACGTGCGGAGCACTGTGCCAGGCCTCATTTAACCCTCACAGCCACCCCGTGATCTGCGGGTGCTTGGTTTATATTCTCCTGGCATAATGGGGGGACAACGGCGCCCCATCTGCAGAGCAGTTAGGAGCCCTTCCAGTGAGGCCCTGGTCAAAGGAGGTGGCCGTGGTCACCAGGCTGTTTAGTGGGGTTAAGGTCTGAGCCCAGCCCGCCTCCCCCCAGAGTCCCTGCCCGTGAGCACCATGCCCACCGCCTGCATCCTTGTGCTGTGGACCCTCTAGGTCCTGTTTTGTCTTGGGCGGGAGGAGGTTGGGTTGGGGTTGGAATCAGTTCCTAGACGAGTAAGGAAAAAAATAAAAATTGGTTTTCATTAAGAATTCTGAAATTTGTTACATTTTTAATTAAGAGCTCATTTTTAAAACATCATTCCTCTGTGTGGAGAAAAATGGGAAATTGTATGACCTTTTATTGCCGAGTTCTTTAAATATTGGTAACATTTGAGTATTTTTAAATTTCACATAGATTCCTAAATTTTTTTACTTAAAATTAAGTTTGAACATTTTGATTTATAGGTATAATTATTTTTATCTTGTAGTGATACCCAAACTTTATGTTAAAAAGTAATTTCTTTCAAGACGAAAAGAGGCTTGATTAGTACCCCTCCATCAGACATGCTTCCTGCATCAGAAGGGGGAAAGGCGAATGCCTGGTTGCGGCAAAAAAACGCTGGAATATATGTTCGCCCTCGCCTGTTTTCTCCCTATGTTGAGGAAGCAAAGGTAACGAAAAACACTTCCAGACACTAGAACACCTCGTTACAAAATATAAGCACGAAGGCATTTATTGTGGCATTATATAAAAATTTGGAAATGGCCTAAATGTTCAGTAATCAGGACAGTGAACATAAAGTCTGGTGTGACTCCTCTGCAGAATACTTTTCCGAAATGCTTCATTATCGAGCATTTTTTTATAACTTAGGCCATGTTAAATTGCATTTTACAGTTTTTTCATCTTAGTTGTCTTGAAAAATGTTAACTTGAAAAGGAACTTTTATTTTCTTGAAATGGTTGTCAGTATTTTGTGATCTTCAGGATGGGAAAAATGTCCTGAAAGCAGATTGCACAATTTTGTCTTCCTCCATAAACGAAAGAAATTCCATGACTTGTTGTAATGGCTATTTCTGTGATGGCTAACTGTTGGAAATTGTGTTTAGTCTTCGAATAAGTACACATACAAAGAAAGAATTTCAGGTGTATTAAGTAAGTAGTTGGCATTATGTATATTATAACAATTCTAGAAAATACGGTAATGTAAAAATGAAATGCGATCATTTTTTTTTTTCAGATGTATTTAGGCCATAAGAACTGTGGGGTGGCTTGTTGAGGAATGGACAGTCTTTGAAAGTCAGAAATCACCATTAAGCCTTATGAAATAAATTAACAAGCCAAATAATGTGTGTTTTGGTATAGAGTAGATTTATCTTAAAATTTTTCTTGCTTTTATTATAGGGGTTTCTAGTTTAAGATACATGAAAGGATTTGTGAGTTTATTTTGTTGACTAGGTTGACAGTCTACCTCTTTTCGACTCGTTGACATTTTAAATAGTTCTAAAACGGATCAAAGCAGAATGGTTGTGCCTCCTCTGAACTGAATTCAATACTTCAGCTCACTGAGGTAGCTGAGGCCCGTAGGAAAGGTTGAGTCTGGCTGCGAAAGGTCTGCAGTGACCCAGGCCTGCCCTCCACCCTGCTCTGTCCCAGGCGCTGGGCTCAGCTGCAGCCCTCCTTGCTTCGCAGCGGCCACGCCCACACGGAGGGGGCGTCGCCCCAGGGAATGTGGGAACTGTCTGCGCGGTATGTTGTTCTGACCGTTCTGCAGGGCAGTGAAATGGTCATCTGAAACTCATATTAACAATTGGGTTTCTTTATGGGTCTGCCGAATTTCTTACCAGTCTGTATGATTTTGTCTTTTCAGCATTTCTTTTTGGATCTGATATTTAGCCCATGTATACATGCTTTCTTTATAGTAACTTTATGTGTAATTTACTTCTGATTAATTTTATACCTTTCCTTCAAATTTCAAATACTTCAGTTAAAGGGAAACTTTTCAGATGATTTTTTTTCCAAAGACACCCCAAAAGATCCTTTAAAATTAAAGAGGTGGGGGGGGGGTACTTCCTCCTTTCACCACTAATTGTAAACTTTGTACACTGAAAACTAAGTAATTTCGTTTTTATGTGATGAAGGTAATCATTTTTTTCCAAATGCGATTTAACAGAAATGAAAGATTGACTTAGCCTGTTCATGCTGAATTGTTATTTCAGTCAGTGCTAGACGAGATGATGGTGGAACAAACAGATCTTGTGCGTTTGCGAATGGTTAGGATGTCCAATGTGCCAGACACACTTTACATGGTCAGTAATGCCGTGCCACAGTGCTGCCACGTGATCAGCCACCAGCAGATCAGCAGTAACCAGTCAAGCCCCCCTTCGGTGGTAGCCAATGAAATTCCAGGTAAGGCAGTAACCTTGTGTTAGGCATTTGTATTTAAATAAGTAGTCTGATCTTTTTGCAATTCCTTTATATATATGCTAATTATCTCCCTGTTTCAGTACCCAGTATGTATTGTTCTCCTCAAAGAATAAATACTTATAAACTAGGTTTTTTGTTTCAAATTTTATTTTATAGCAACAGGGATATACAGAGTTTGGTTTTGCCCAAGGTTTTTCAACCTTGACCCTCTTGACGGTTAGGGCTAGGTGCTGCTTTGTTGTGGGGACTGCCCTGTGCATTGTGGCATGTTCAGCGGCATGCTGGCCTGACTCACGGGACGAGGAGCGTGCGTGCACACACTCCCATTTATCACCTTTTGGAAACGTTTTCATGTTTCTAAACGTTGCCAAGCGCATGTGGCAGGGTCAGATTGCCTCCTTTCGAGAACCGCTGGTTTAGAGGAGTTCGGATGTTTTGTCACGTGGGGTATTTCTTATAAGACCTGTTGGGAAGAGTATTAAAGATTTATCTCCATACACCCCCCCAAAAACGTGATCACCATTGGTTTTCTGGAGAGCCAGATTCTGAAGATCTGGTCTGTGAACTTGATTGTAGTGCAGTCTTAGTCTTATGATTCAGGAGAGCGGCCACAGGTTTAGCTGTCAGTGACCAAAAACTGAACAGCCGTTAATGTTTACTTTAACTGGGGGGCTCCAATGTCATTTTCTAAGATAGGGAAATCAGCAGTGCAGATGGGGTCACAAACTTTTTTAAATTTAGCAAACTATAGCATTATTGGAAATGGCACCATTCATTTTCTGCTTATAAATGTCTGTTTCAGGTAAGGCTAAAAAAGACATAATGACAACCTTTAATTGAACATATACATTATGTTCTGGGACTGATATATGATCAGTTGTCGCCTTATCAGATTTGTCTGCCACATGTTATTTAAAGTAACATTGGATAACTGTATGAAGAAAAATATTTCTGTAGCTGATTTGTGCAGATCTTGAAGCTTTCATAATTAGCACTGTTTTTTATTATTTTGAGTTAATACTTGAATAGCAACATAATTTAAGTTTAGAACTGACTGTCAAAAGCCCAGACGTTTACAATTAAGTATGTTTAGTTAGAAAAGTAAGACTTGTCTTTTTGTCGTTTAACCCTATTCCAGTGTCATCCTAATTCTGACTTGCTCACCATACTCTAATGAAGGCTCTCTAGCTTATTGGAGGAGACCTGTGGGCTCATGTCCTGGCTCTGCCACTTCATGTGTGCGACTTGGGAAGAGCTGTCTACTTCCCTGCACATGAATTTCCTTGTCTGCAGAATGGGGATATCTCATCTCGAGGTTGTTGTGAAGACTTAAGGAAGCACCACGAGTAATAACATCCTTAGGAGTTTGCCTGGCACAGGGCAAGAGCTCAGTAATAGCTCCCTTTTTGCACCAAAAAATAGTTAGGCTCATAATGTTTAGAGACCCCGTCCCTTCTTGCCCAGCCCTCTGTGACAGCCTTCCCAGGTTCCTAACCCATGTTCCTGCTCTGACCTCACTCACTCCCCTTAAGGGTTTTACACTAAGACTCGGCACAGTTTTTCTGGGACGTGCTAGATAGTAACCATTTTAGGCCCATGTCATGGGTTATGTAGTTTCTGTTACAGCTACTCAACTTTGTTCAACTCTGTTGTTGTAGGCCAAAAGCAGCCAGAGACAGGACCTAAACGGATGGGTGTGGCTGTGTGCCAGGAAAGCTTTATGTACAAAAACAAGCAACTGGCCTGAGGTAGCCTACAGGCCATAGTTTGCCAGCCCTTGCTTGACACCGCTCTCAGAGCGCACCCGACTGCATCCCAGCTCTGATCCTGCCGTGCCACTGGACAGGTGGCCGCCTGTTGCACTCAAGATACAATTCGGTTCCCTTACTCTGACCCGCAGGGCCATTCGTGATCTGTCCCACCCATCCTTCTGGCCTTCTCTCTTAATGCTCTTCTTGCTATACTTTTGAACCCTTCGTTCCAGCCATGCCAGGTCCTTGTGCCACACTCTCTCTCGTGCATGTTTTTTACACATGCCTGCTCCTTCTGCTCACATTCTTTGCCTGCCGGCGTTTCTCCCATTCTTCAGGATTGCGCTCAGGGTCCACCTTGTGCAGGAGGCCTTTCCTGCCTGCCTCCAGTCCCATTGGGGGCCCCTTCCTCCACATCCCCCATAACCTTTGCGTGTTTCTCTCCGTGACTGTTGTGGCCCTGTACTCTACTAGTTTATTTGGTTTACTTCACTAAAACCAGAGCTATTTGAAGACAGGGAGTATGTCTTTATTCTGCACATCCTAATACTTGAGTCCAATCCCTGGTACATAGAATGAATACATTTTAAAAACTTAGGAAATATCCTGAGATTCAGAAGAGAATGTACGAAAGCAAAATTTTATTTAGGCTGGGAACTAATAATGCAGCCCAGGAGCTGTGTGGTATTATCAAGAGCCTTTTGGGCACAGTGAAATTTTAAAACCCTGAAAAATAATTAGAAGTATATTCAGTACTAAGTTGCCAGGAAATTAAAATATTATCAAAAATCTATTAGAAGATTCTGATATAAAATACATGGCTTTTTTTCTTATGCGTAGCGAGTGGTCTTTTGTGTAGCTCAGGTATTTGCCTACAAACAGTTTTCCCTCTTCCAGTTCCTGGCCTCCTCACTCTGAAAGACATGGTCCGACGTCTGCAGGAGCTCCGGCACACGGAGCAGGTGCAGAGAGCCTATGCGCTGAACTGCGGAGAAGGCGCCACGGTCAGCTACGAAATCCAGATTCGAGTGCTGAGGGAGTTCGGCCTTGCCGATGCTGCTGCAGAGCTCTTGCAGGTGGGGCCCTGGGTTGCACGGTTGAAGACAGGGGCCCGGGCCACCACCCAGGGAGTAGTGTGCACATCGCAGGAGCTCTCACTGCACGGGTTTTCCCCTAGTCCACGCCGTCTCACTGCCGCCGGTGTCTTGGCTAACCGTGGGAGGCAGCGTGGGGGAGGGGACGTGGCACAGGCTCTGGAGTGAGAACTGGCTTATATCCCGGCTCTGTTGCCTACCAGCCGGGTCAGTGGAGGAGTTCCTTAGCCGCTCTGAGCGTCGGCTTCCTCATGTGTCGTGAGCTGTCGTGAAGGCAGGAGGTGTGGGGTGGTGAAGCAGCTATGTCTCCTGTGTGAACGAGCCTAGAGATGGTGACGGCTGACGGTTCGTGGTGTGGGTGCCCAGCGGAACGGAAAGACGAAGTGGACAAGCCTGGCCCTCCCCACTCCCACGCCCCAGTGTGGTCACTGGGGTTCAGTTTGCCGCCACTGTCATACTCGCGCTTCTTCCAGACGCCCCTTTTTCCCTGTCCTCCCCCCGATGCAGGAATCTTTTCCGTGATGGTTTAACCCTAAAAGCTCTGGAATCAAGAAATGAGGTTTTTTTAACTAGCAGGAAAAAACTCATTTCTAGTTGTTATTAGGTGCAAAAGCAATGGCATTGGTTTTGCAGTGAAGCTAGAATTTGTAAAGTGCAGTAGTTCACTTCCCGTCCACAGGGGACACATTCTGAGACCCTCAGTGGATTCGTGAAACTGCAGATGGTGCCGAATGAGCCCTTTATACTCTGTGTTTTCTCCTGTGCATACAGCGCTATGATAAAGTTTTAATTTATAAATCAGGCACAGTAAGAGATTGAAACAATAATGATAAAATAGAACAAGCACAGCAGTGCACAGTGCTGTAATCCCAGTTATGTGACAGTGATCTCCCGAAGTATCTCACTGTGCAGTGTTCACCGCATGGAGCGGCCGGAGAGGGGTGATTCAGGTCCCAGGTGGGACCGGGCGGGGTGACGTGAGGTTCTGCTCAGCATGGCTCATGATTTACAACTTACAATTCGTTTATTTCAGGAATTCCCCATGTAGTATTTTTGGGCCTTGGTTGACCGTGGGTAATTGAAATCACAGAAAATGAAACCTCTGTCAAGGGGACGCTACTGTAGTTTACCCACGGCCACTAAATCAGAACCTAAAATAAAATCTAATTTCATCTGATCAAGTGATTGGATTGTCTTCTTGCCACAGGCTCCAAACCCCCTCAGTGGCCCGAGCCCCCCGGGGGCCCCCCGTGGTGTGGTGGTCGGGCTCACGCGGACAGCGGCCGCCTGCGGCTCCGGATTTTTGTTTGTGTCCCTGCAGGAGTCTCGTTTTAGTTTATTTCCCCTTTCTTCGCCATTCCAGATTGTATGTTAATTTTATGTCCTAAATTATATAAAAGTTTTATTAAGCATTCCCTTATAATGTTTAAACAGCTCTTTTTGACAGCTATATGTAGGCCACAGAGGCTACCCTCTCTCTGTACTATTAAGGTAATTTTTTCTTGGAAGCTTCTGGCCTAGAAAATATTTACACCTTTTATTCTTGCTGAATGTGATTTTCTTAGGTCCTCACTTAACTCTCAGCCTGTGAGTTTTCATCTATGAAATCTAAACCCTATTTTTCTTTTTAATCTTTCTTAGAATCCTCACAAGTTCTTTCCCGATGAACGTTTTGGGGATGAAAGTCCGCTCTTGACAATGAGACAGTCTGGGAGATGTCGCGTTAACAGTACCCCCGCTGCAGAAACCATGTTTACAGATCTGGACTCTTTCGTGGCCTTCCACCCACCCCTGCCCCCTCCGCCGCCTCCATACCAGCCCCCAGCCACCCCCATCCATAACCAACTCAAAGCGGGCTGGAAGCAAAGACCTCCCAGTCAGCATCCTTCACGTTCACTTTCTTATCCCTGCAATCATTCGCTGTTTCACTCGAGAACAGCTTCGAAAGCTGGCCCCCCTCCAGTCTATCTGCCAGGTGTTAAAGCTGCTGCCCCTGACTGTACCAGCACCGCCGGACTGGGGAGACCGACGGTGGCTGCCGCCGCCGCTGCCTCAGCCTCAGCAGTGACAGCATCTGAAAAACAAGCGGTAAGTTAGCACTTCAGAAACTTACCTAATTAAAAAGTTGGCAGAATATTACAAGCAATTCCCCTGGCCCCAAGAGCCCTACTGGAACTCAGCAGTGCCTGGAACTAGCACTGGCGAGCTGAAAGCACAGGCTTGAGTGGCGGGGGAGCGAGAGAGGGAGAGTGTGGGTGGGTGAGCATGGGCAGGAGAGAGTCTGGGAGCGCACGTGGTGGGCGCAGTCAAGTGCCCGCCTTGCCTTTATTTTCCTCTGGGAGCATGTGGAATCAGGGCAGCACAGATGGCTGTTACCTGTTGCAAGTGCTCTCTGCAAGCTGCGTCTCTCAGCCTGTCACTGGCTTTCCTGTTCTGTGGAAATCTAGCATTCTGCCACACGCTTGGATGGGGCTGCAAGTGTCCCGTCAGTGCCCGTGTGGCAGGCGACCCCCATTGGGAAGCGCAGCCTTGCGCCTGTCTGCCTCCGGCAGGCTGTTCGGCAGAGCACGCATTTGGGAACCACAGTAGCTAGTAAATTAAGCCAGAGTTCTTTGCTCGATTTTACACTGCTTTAGAGGTTGAATTTGTTTTACATAATACGTTTAGAAAAAAACAGTAATGCTTTAAAGTCTTCCTGCTCACATACTGTGGCAGTAGCATTCAGTGCCGAGAGAAACAAAAGCTGCATGTTTTAGTTCAGAAAATCTTCATGAAAACGGGATTTTTCCAAATCTAAGGACTAGCGTGCACCTTGGGTCAGTTGTGACCCTCACCTCGTGGCCCTTCGGCCCGCCCCTGCCGCGCCTCCGAACCCCTCCCAGAAACAGGAAATGGCACAGGTCGGCGGTGTTCGTAAGCCAAACCCCATCCTGTTGGCCTGGCCGGGCGCTCACTTCTACAATGGCAAAACTTCTGCTACTTTATATTTTACTGTTATTTCTTTTTCTTTTTCATTGTTGTTCAGTTATAGCTACTACTTTATATTTTAAGTAGAACTCCCTTTAAAGGTAATTTATTGTATGTTCATTGTAGTTTTAATGACCATAAGTAAGAATTAGCCCTGGCTGGGTTTCACAGGTGGCTCGGTTGGCTGGAGCATCATCCCGTACACCGAAAGGTGGCGGGATCGATTTCTGGTCAGGGCACATTCCTGGGTTGCAGGTTTGATGCCCAGTCAGCGCGAGTGTGGGAGGCAGCCAGTTGATGTTTCTCTCTCACATCAATGTCTCTCTCTCCCTCTCTCTCCCCGCTTTCTGTCTTTCCCTTCCTCCCTCCTCACCTCCCCCCCCCAATCAATAAAGCATATCCTTAAGCAAGGATTTAAAAAAAATATCTGGAAAGAAAAAAAGAATTGGAAACAATCTTAATGTCCTACAGTGGGGGAATGGTTAAGTCAGTCATTGACACAATGCACTATTATGCAGTAATTTAAATAGTAATATCAAAGAAAATTCGGTGACAGAATTTATATATACACTAAGTTTCATGATAATTAATGCATGTGCAAAGAGAAAAAGGTGAGAGAAACACCTCAGAATGCTAACAAGTGGTTACCATATTTTACTGTGTATAATGGCTCCTGTGCATGCATAATGCACACCCACATCTGTGTGTGCATCGTACACGGGATTGTTACCCTGTGGTGTGTAACCGTTATACCCACATGTAATGCACACCCTTACCGTTCTGTCAAATTTGGGCAAAAACTGTGCATTATATGCATTATACATGGCAAAATACAGTACTTCAGGGAAGGTTAAGATTATTATTATTTTTTGCCTTTAGTTTTCTGTATTTTTCTCTTTCATAAAAATAAGCACGTATTTTATAACAGGAAAACAAAATCCATGAACATCAGTTGTGCAAAGGCGTCCTGGGCTGTTCTCTTTTAACCCTTCCCCCCTTCTCGCTTCTGTTCGCAGTGTGCACAGCCTGTGCTAAATGACCTAATGCCAGACATTGCCATGGGTGTGTCCACACTGTCCCTCAAGGACAGGAGGCTTCCAGAACTTGCCGTAGACACAGAACTAAGCCAGTCAGTCTCTGAAGCAGGACCAGGGCCTCCCCAGCATCTGTCATGTATTCCACAGAGGCACACACACACGTCTCGGAAGAAACACACACTAGAGCAAAAAGCAGATGCTCGAGAAAATCCGCAGGAATACCCCGATTTCTATGACTTCTCCAGTGCTGCTTGCAGACCTTCTCCCGCTCCCGGCAGACGCACCCCCTCCCCCTCGCACGGTGGATATTTTGGTCCTGATTTGTATAGCCACAATAAGGCGTCACCGAGTGGCTTGAAGGCAGCCTACCTACCTGGCCAGACCTCTCCTAAGAAGCAGGAAGAAGCTAGGAGAGAATATCCACTTTCTCCCGATGGGCATCTCCACAAACAAAAGAACGAGCCAATACACCTCGACATTGTTGAGCAACCTCCCCAGCGGCCAGACCTGCCTCTGGCAGCCCCAGAAAATGCTGGCAGCGGCCCAGCGCATGTCAGGGGGCGAACAGCAGTAGAAACTGACTTGACTTTTGGGCTTACTCCTAACAGACCTTCACATTCTGCAGGTAACTCTGAAGCTCCAGAAGAGAGATCCGGCAGAAGACTAGCAGACAGCGAGTCCCTGGGCCTCGCAGCCCAGCGCAATCCAGAGTTGGAAAGGGAAGATTCAATGAACAGAGGAAGGAGGTCACCGAGCAAACCAGACTTCCTCTACAAAAAGTCTGCCCTCTGAGCGCAACCTCCAAGTCGTCTGTGCCTGAGATGCGAAACATCCCCCTTTCTGGTGTAACCCAGTGACTTACGAGACCGGTTTATTGATGCCAGCTGATAACTCAGTTTCACGTTATTTCATTCCGGGTTTTGTACATACATGTTTATTAGACACGGCATGCCGAGAGGGTTGTTTTGAATGCTGCATTTGTCTGCTTTGTGTTTGAGTCATTGTGCGGGGAGGCATTTTTCAGAGCAAGCAAGCTGGCACTTTCTTCTTTACAGACGATGGAATTTTTTTGCACTTGTACATTTATTTTATCTGTATTGATTTTGTATCGGTATGTTAAACTTTATTGCCACATTTAAAGGACTGTATTTTCATACTTTTTGCATTTTACTGCTCATCTACCAATTTCCACGTGCACTGGAGTGCACACTAAGATGTATTTTCTTACGAAATAGTTCTGTTTATTTTTTAATTATAGAAATTCCAAAGAACAGCACATCAAAATGCTCCTCTCTTCTCAGTAATTGTTTCAGTTCAGAATCTTCCCGCTCCGTCTCCGTGTAATGTTGCCATCCTTTCTGAGGAAGTCTCGGGAGCTGGGCTTCCTTCCTCCAGCGGGAGCCCCGGCAGGGTCCTGGAGTTTCCCGTCCCGTCCCGCAGAGAACCGGAAGGAGACGAGCCTTTTGTTGCCGCGCTGGGAGCCGTCGCTGTGTTCACCGCGTGGACGCCGTCAGACCCGCTGCGGGTGCCGGTCGTGTGGCCTGGAGCGTCAGCCGACGGGAGTCTAACGGGTCGGATTTCTTTGTGGCCAGAGTCACAGAGCTGGAGGTGGCGGAGTGACTCGCGGGCCGCACCACCGTGGGGGTTCCGGTTCGGAGCGTCCCCGGCGTCCAGCTGCCGCCCAGCTGCCGTGGGGAGGGGCCGCGCACCGCCTTCAGCCGTCCTGCTCTCGGGGCGGGGGAACAAAACACAAACTAAAGGGCTTCAGTCTTACGGATGTCATTCGGTGTTTGTAAGCATACGCTTTCTTATAAATGTTTTTTAAAGTGTGTCTGAATTTTGGTGTCCGATAGAAAGTCGTGTAATGCATAACGCTTTGTCACCAAAAGAGAAAACCCATTGTTTTCCAGTGGAACACTACATGTCCTACTTGAACTCCACTCGGGACGCTGGTTTGGGGTTTTTCTGAACCACTGAGCACACGGGATCTTTTAAGGTCCTCTCCCTTGGAAGGGCAATGTGTGAGCTAAGGACTTCTTTTCTTACTCTCCGGTGTAAATATATTGGCATTCGAGTTTTTGCATCACTTCAGCATTGTGTGAGCTCTCACTTTGTGTTTTTACAGACACAGGACACACAGCCGTAGCACTTAGAGGAAAAGAGACCTTCTGCACGTCCCCCCACGGGAGGGGTGCCTGGGAGCCTCTTTCCTGTGTGTGTGTGTGTGTGTGTGTATATAGATACATATATAAACTATGAATCACTGACACTCTTAAAACTATGCAGGGCTAGGGAGCCTTTACAAGCTACCATATAAACTAATTACATGCACTTTTAAGTCGGTAGGTTTCTCTTGGGTATCAACAACTCCGATTTCTCCCGAAACTGTAGATCCTCTTACAGTCTTTTCGTACTTTACCCTGTGGATATACACTCAGGAATACTCTGACATTTTAAAAATTCCTAACGGTAGTTCGTCTCAGAGATGGGAAACACATCAGTGTATCCGTGCGCGGGCACACTGCTGCCGCGCGTCCTGCCGCCCATCCCCGGCCCGGCGGTGGTGCTGCGGCCCGGGCCCGGGCGCCGGCGCTCACGCCGGCCCGCTGGAAGGCTGGCCGCGCGGCGCCTTCGAGGCTCCCTTTTTTTAAAGATAGAAAACGTAGGACTCTGTTCTCCTTTCCATGAGGTCTGACCCTTGCACGATGGTGTCTTTTGAAGCCAGTCTCTGCCTGTCCCTCAGAAACAGAAATTTGTTAAGTCCATTATATTCCTCCATGTGTGTTTCATGATTTTGATGGAGTTTTAAATGTCTGTTCTGGTTCGGTGCCGTGCCGGTACTGCAAGTTAGGGTGGGGAAAAACTCTCTTCGGGACCTTTTACAACATATGTTAGACAAGAGCTATTTATGCCCTACATTCGTCTTTCTGAAAATTTATTAAATACCCTTCCATATCTCCAAAGTGGAATTATAAAAATAGCCACTGTTCATAATTTTGTTTAATTTATGAAATTCGCCTTTGCTACTTTAGTAGCTTACCTGGCCGAACTCTGTGTGTAAAGAGAGGCTTGCTTCAGCCTGAGGGGCTGCGGGCCGCTGCGGCTTGCAGAAGGTCAGCAGGTGGCGGCCGTGTGTGTTCGGGTCGGTGTCCGTGGGCGTTCCGTGTCTTGTGACGTGTGGTGCCTCGGGTGGGTTGGATAGCTCTGTGCCTCTGGTTTTTGGACCCATCTGTTCGCTCCTTTTTAATGCGTACTTAAGCATTAAAATCTTTTCATGCTGTACTAAGATAAATGTGAAGTCTGAGTAGGATTGCTCTCAGAAAAAAAAAAAAAATGTGTGTGTAATAGAGTGTGGCCACAAGACCTCCTGGCATGGTGCTCGGTGTGGAGGTTTCGTAGAACCACATCCCAGAATACCGGCTCTTGGCTCGAGGCCCTGGACAATCAGGCCGAAGACAATCGCCACCCCGGGTGCCCGCCTCGTTGAGGTTAGAGGACCACCGCTTAGATCCTGGGTCACGACGAGATCGATGTTTCTTCAAGATGCTGTCGGTCTGTTACCCTTCTTTCAGTTTTGTGATTTTGATGACTAATTGACGTTCAAAGTCACCTGTGACTCCTAAGGGAAAAAAAGTAGCATGAAAGGCAAAAGTTCCTCCTGGAGAAGGGCTGTGCGCGTTTCCCGCAGCACACCGCACCCTTTCTCACGCGCCGCCCTGGCGGCTGTTTGCAGGCGCGCGAGCGCGCGTCCCTAGGCCTCGCGCGTGAGCGCTCCCAGCAGTTCGAAGAGCAGTTTGCGTTTAAGGATTTTTAACGAGGTCCTTTTTTTTTATTCTAGTCTCTTTGTAGAACTCTCTGCCACGTGACCTACTTCTTGTTTTTTGCTTCCTCAACATCTCTTATTACAGTTGCAACCCTTTACTAGGTGTTCTCTTGTTCAAGTCCTAGGGGCAGGCAGTGCGCGTCCCTTCGAACCACGCGGTGACCCGGAGTGGGCAGGGTCCGGCGTGTGCGGCGCCACGTGCCGGTCGGTCTCCCGGGAGGAGCTAAGGTTTCTCAGCAACGCAGCAAAAGACGTGTTTTCGTAAGGTTTAATCCACTTTTAGGGGAAAATGCTTTTCATCAAACACTTGTTAAGATACTGGTTTAGCAATTTCAAGGCATTCTCGTTTCTGTCTTCAGACCGAACTCAAAGGGATGGTTAGTAGACTTTTTAAAAACTAGTTGATTTTCAGCTTGCTGTTGGAAGTTGCTATTGAAGCAGCAGTGATGGGTGCTATTCCTGATTCTGCAATGGTTTACTTTGCCTACTAAGTAATTTACTTTCAAACCTCATTACAAATCCTTACTGAAGAGTTACCATCACACACTAAAAGGTATTTTAGTTTACTATTTCCTGTTAACACTCTTGTATCAACATATTATGAATATTCAATTGTCTTTTTGTCTGATAAATTGCAATAGCTGTTACGTAATTGTATTGGCAAATCTTTTTTTTTTTCTTTAGAAAACTCTCAGACCGTGTATCAATCTTCCATATTCTGAATACTGTAGTGCTGTGGCCGTTTCTATAGAAAGATTACTTGCAAGTGTGTCTTGAACATAACCTCTGGTGTCTGTGTGTTTACGTGGGTTCCAAGAGACGAGGTGAGCTCTGGAAGCGTCGCCGTGTACCCGCCCGCGACTGTGCTGCAGGGGCAGGTGGTCCGGAATGCTGCCCTCGGGCGGGGTGGCCGGGCGGGAGAGATTCCCCGGCTCCACCCGCCGTTCGTGCGCCACACCTAGACTTGGCAGAGGCGGCACTTCCCCAACCCTGCGTTTCTTGTGGTTGTGCTGTTACCAGTATAAAGTCAAGTGCCTTCAATGCTCAAGGCTCAGAAAATTTTCTTAAACTGATTTCATGTCCTATGCAAGTGTTTTCTACAACCTGCATAACCAGTACTTTGTAAAACTTGTTTACGCTTCGATTGTACATAGTGTTTTTTAAGGAAATATATAGTATTTTTATTTAGGTACCTTCAAACTTGAATTTGTCTGTGTGAAGCATTGTAAAACGATACATTTCTCTTTTGAGCATCATTACAGTTGTACAAAGGTTTTCACTGGTTCTATTTTTCTACTGTTACTGATACGCATGTAACACTGACTTTATCCTACATATAGTTGGCATTTCAAATAAATGGCTTGTATAGAACCTGCTGAGTCGGATACAGTCTGTTATAGCGGGGTAGCCTGCAGTCCTCAGTTCCAGAAGCGCTTGTGCCCCTCTAGGGTAGAATCGTGAGGTCTTCTACATGAACTTCCCGTGTCTAGGGTTTCCGTTTTCCAGAGATTTTTTTGTTTAACCTATTGTGGTTTTCTTGGAAATACATTTTCATCTAAATCAAGGTCATTTTATTTTCTACTTTTTCATTGCGGCATTTGTGAGTGGTTTTATTTCATAAATTTGAGCAAAAAGTCACTTGCACAGGGGTCTCCAGAGGAAGCTCAACATTCCATGCTGTGGACCCCACACCTGTAACGTGCCAGGTGCTGTGGCCAGAGACCCAGGCGAACCCCGAGATTCACAGGCCTCCAGGTGCCAGAGGCCTGGCTTAGATGCTGAGATGTTTTTTTTTTTCACCCTCAGGTTTACTAGTATTTCCCAACTTGAAAAGGAAGTCAAGTCTTGATCTAGAGTCCACGTTTCTGAAAGAAACATGCAAAAACAAAGTTCTCTAATTTCCATTTTTTAAAAGATTTTATTTATTTTCAGAGAGGGAAGAGAGGGAGAAAGAGAGAGAGAGAGAAACATCAGTGTGCGGTTGCTGGGGACTGTGGCCTGCAACCCAGGCATGTGCCCTAACTGGGAATCGAACCTGTGACACTTTGGTTCACAGCCCGCACTCAATCCACTGAGCTATGCCAGCCAGGGCTTAATTTTCCATTTTTAATTGCTATAAAATAGCTGTTTAAATTTAACCATTTTACTAAGTAGTTCCATCTTGCATGCCTCACTAAGGCAATTCTATTTCGTAACCATCTTAGGTTTAACTGGAGTATCAAGCTAAAATACAAGGTTTTTGTGAGCAAGCGCACTGAAAATCTGAAAGGGAAGTTAAGTCCACTGTCCTGTCTTTACTTGAGGGGCACCCTGGGAAAGGGCGCTCAGCTGGCTTCCCTCGCCACCTGTGGCCCGATTTCCCCTCAGGGCACTGGGGAATATTGGAGTCCATTCTTCCCAGGGACTGGGAATATGGAGCAGCTGACCAAAAGCAGACAGGATACTTCTCAGAAACTTTCCAGTGTAGCTGGAAGTGACTTTTGTCCTAGGAACAGTCACGCAGCAGTAGGAGGCTCATGGCTGTGCAGGCTGGCTTGACATGGCCCAGGCAGGAATGTGAGGAGAAATGTGCTGGTTTGAGTACCATTTTCTTGAATCCCTCGTTAATGACTTAGTACTTTTAGTGCCATTTTCCAAATGAGGAAACCGCAGCACCGAGATACGGAGTCACTTGTCCAAGGCCATGCGGCCGGTAAGCGGGCCGAGCGTGGGCCGCAGCCCTGAAGTGTGGCGGCCCAGGCAGAGGGAACACATCGTGCAGGGGTGGGGGAGGCGCAACCGTGGCCTTCATTCATTCATCAGGTAAGCAGCCTCTACCTGCCAGACACTGCCAGGGCCTCAGGTGACAGCAACCAACAAGACATTCACAGTCCCACCCGTAACAATTTTAGGGTCTCGAGGAGGAAAAGCTATCGGACAATTACAGAGGTAACGCCCAGAGCTGCAGCAGGGGGACAAATGCAGAACCAGTTCAGCTTTGGCCCAGTGCCAGATGCTGGGTGCCCACTCAGTCCAAGGCTTGTGTCTGGCAGCTGCTTGGAGGTGACCTAGCTGGGAGGCAGCCCCACTGGCTCCTGGGAGCTGTGCAGGTTGGTTTCCTGCCCTTCCCACGCTCCCCAGAACACACTCTCCTTCCACGGGGAGCGGAACCAGGCCGCTGCCAAGGTCCAACAGTCACTTGGGTTGCTTTCAATTTCCTTACGTTGCACAAGGGACCTCTGGGGGGAGCTAGGAGAACTGCAGCTTTCCTGGCGCTGATGATGGCGGTTTTCAGACAGGTGAGCAAGCACTTCACTCACCGGAGCAAACTCACAGGGGCGATGACCGCAAGTCTGAGCAGTGTCCAAGGGAGCGAGAGCTGGGGAGGACCAAGGACGGGCCTCTGCCTTGGCCTTTCCGTTTGCTTCCCATTTCCTTTTGAAATAACGGCTCCCACACAGGTGGACGACGTCTTTTCCTTAGAGGTGGGCTCCTGGCTAGCCCTCCTGCACCTGAACAGATGGAGATGCTCACAACCAAGCCCATGTCTTTGATCTGTTCATCTACGCCCCGAAAGGACTGCGGAACTCCCTCCCAGGTGTTGTGAACCCAGGGACCCGGTCAGGCCCTGTCTTAGGAAACAGCAGGAGGGACGAAGCAGCCCCCACCTGGACAGGACGCATACTCATTTTCAGGTAGACGGCAACGGGAGGTTTGTGTACGTTTGAATGACTACAAGCAATCAAAAGCCACTATTTTGAATTGGCTTTATTTAATTTTACAGAAACCTGATTGAAGTTTAGTATGCAATTATAAGTCCAGTAACAATTCTACAAAAATGGACATACAATGCCAGAATTCCTTAAAAGCAACTAATACCATATTCTTCTGTTGCATAAAACATGCATTAACTGCCACATGTTGGCCAGAATCAGTCTCTACAGGAAGAGACGGTCCCGTAACAGTCAATAAGAAAACTAGTTGTGAAGAAAAGGTAAAAAAAGAGGTTTTCTGGTTAATATAAAAGAAGGAACAGTACCCTTCATAAAACTAGCCCTTCGGCACCAGGCGACTGGAACTGTGGTACAGCAGCGCGTCACCTCTGAGACCGGGTCCTGACCTGTCCGGAGGACCTTCTGGTAGTCAGACGTTTGAGAAGATGCACACGCTTGCAGGCCACAACGACCCACCTGGGCAGCCTTGCAGAGGGGGGCGCAGAAATCCTGACTTGGGAAGAGTCCCCCCAGCTGGAAACTCCACGGCAAAGACGCCCTGACCTTTCCCCCCAGCCTGTTGACCCTTTCTCTCTGCAAGGCCGGCCCAGGGCACGCGGGCATCTCCTGCGGCCGCGGGACCTTCTAGCTCCGCACGCAGCTCTCCCCGAGGACCTGGGAGTGGGAGGTGCGAGGCAGAAAGGGGAGGGAGGCCCTGCGGTTCCCACTCGGCTCATTCGGGGATCGGCGGGCCCTCGTCCAAGTGGCTGCCGAACCGAGGAGTATTTGAAACACGCGTGGCCCCAGAGGCTCGGATACTTGCAGCCACACACCTCCAAGTGTCATCTACTGCCAGGGAAGGCCTCCGCCCTCCAGGGGGAGAGTGCAACGGTATCAAAAGGTGTCTTCCACACTGACTGAGGGACTTCAAGGAAATTCCAAACCAGCTGAAAGGACTTCCCTTCAAATGGGTTTTACACATTCCATGAGGTTCTTCGAACGATCTCCCAGTCGTTAGGGAACCAGCTATGGGCATGAACACTTATATACATCAAGCTCATCATGCGCGCAGCCCGGGGTCTTGTCTGGCCTCTCCCACACACCCTGCCTCTCCCGGAACGGGGCGCGCACTGCCCTGCCCCGCACCAGTGAGCTAAGCCAGTATCTTTTTCTCTTCAGCACAATTTAAAGGGAGAAATAATTTATCGGGGTTCTAATAACATTTTCGCAACAGAACAATATCAAAATAGGTTTGTTTTTAATATATGCTTAGCGTATCCCTGATAATATAAAGAAATCCAGAGGCCTCTGTAAACCACCACGGCTTCCCAGGGGAGTGCCGGTCTCGTTTCTAGGCAGAGCAGAGGGACGCCGTGCTGGCAGTATTCTCGGGAAGCCCCGTGAGCTCTACGGTACTGAGTTCGAATACGCCAGTGCGAGCAGAACTGCGAATGAGACGGTCACTTTAAATTTATTAGTAAAATTCGTATCAAAGGTTAGCTTCCTCAATCCTGCCGTCAGTCAATCTCCTGGCCTGTAACAGACATCCAGGCCACAAAACCAGCAGTCCTGGCTACTCGAGAGGATGGGCCCAGAGGAGGCGAGTTTCGAGATCCTTCTAAGCAGTGACCAAGCCTCAGAGAGGAGGCACGTGAGAAGAGGAGCAGACCAGGCTTGAGGAAGCTGTGACCCAAGGCACCACGATCACAGGGGTGAGGGGACCCAGCCAGGTCCTCGCCGGCAGGAAGAGGCCCCCAGAGCAGGTCCTGGAAGACGACAGCTCTGCGGCAGAGTAGATACATTCGGGAGTTAAACACCAAAAATTTAGAAAAGAAACTAGTTTACTTTCTCAAAACCAAATGGAACTCCTTAAAAGTTAAAAGCAAATAACCCTGGGTAGACACGGGGAATGGTGGGGGCTGAAGTCTGTGGAATGAGCTGCTTTTGGCTGAGCCGGAAGAAGGCTGGTTGTGAAATCAGCGCAGACGCTGTGGCCACTGCAGCCGAGGAGTGAGGGGAGCTCAAGGTCGGGGGAGGAGGCCTCTCCAAAGAGGACGGGGAGAGGAGCGAATGTGAAATAGGCCTCTTTTATTCCTGCAACAGTGAGTGGCATTGTCACCGGCCTGGATGAGAGGGCGCCACGCCCCACTCTAGCTGCAATAGTACTGCATCCCATCCACTCTTCTTCTCTTCTTTGACTGAAATTCTTCAAAGAACTGCTGGATGTCCTCTCTCTTTACAACCTGTTGATGAAAAGCAAAGATTAGGAAAGGGAACTGTATCACAATAGCAATAACCGGTCATAACACTCACGAACGAGCCGAACAATACTGCTGGTAAGAATTATTTTAATGGGTAATTAATTAGGCTATCTCCATTTTACAGCGTTCACCCAGGCTCGGAGAGAGCGGCCTGTTCGGAGCCCCACGGCGGGCGGAGCAGGGGCAGAGCAGCGGACGGTGCCGAGCTTGGGCTCCAGCCCCGCACTCGGTTTCACCGTGCACAGTGCGCACAGGATGCTAGAGGCAGCACCTCTGCGCCACGGTCATTTGAAGGGACGAGAAATAATGCCTGCAGAACACTCTCAACACATAGTAAGTTCTCAATAAATGTTAATGAGAAGAGATCTCGAGCGCAGGCTGCGAACCAAAGTGTCGCAAGTTCGATTCCCAGTCAGGGTACATGCCTGGGTTGCAGGCCACGGCCCCCAGCAACCGCACATTGATGTTTCTCTTCCTCTCTCTTTCTCCCTCCCTTCCCTCTCTAAAAATAAATAAATAAAATCTTAAAAAAAAAAAAAGGGAGAGAGAGATCCCTGGCCGGTGTGGCTCAGTGGGCTGGGCGTTGTCCTGCGACCAGAAAGGTGTCCCGGTCAGGGCACGCGGCTGGGTTGCAGGCCAGGTCCCTAAGTTGGGCGTGTGTGTGAGAGGCAACTGATCGATGTTTCTCTGCCTCTCCTTCTCCCTCCCTTCCCCTCTCTAAAAATAAATAAATAAAATCTTAAAAAAAAAAACAAACTGTCAGAGCCAGCACAAAAACTGAGAACTCAAAAGTCTCCCAGACAACTGCTCTGTCTCATCCCACAGCTGTGTTCCGGGAATGTCCTTCGGCTCCACGCGAGCACTCACAACAAACAAACAATAGAAGTGTTTTGTTTTGATAGCTGTGCTTTTTTCTTTCCTGAAAAAAAGGAACCTAAAAACTTTTCTCTCTTCAAGAGTCCAAAATTAAAGATGCTTGTATATAAACAGCAACAACAACAACAACAATAGGCAAAAACTATAGAAGCACTACTCTTAGTAAATGGATATCCATTTTATGCGATAAGAATGAGAAATTTATTTTCCACTGTATTGGAAAAAGGATTGGCGCATGATACAAAGGTGTTTGCGATATAATCAAAACAAAATATTAAAAAAAGAAAGAAAGACAACGGGAACACATGCATGAAAATTAAATGAGGACAGCCCAGGAGTCCCTGCTCACCCCAAGAGCCAGTCTTGCCAGTGATCCGATCTAAAGCTCTCCAACGGCCATCACAAGACAGGTTTAATTACATTTTGAAAAAATTATTTATTTATTTTTAGAGAGGCAAGGCAGGGAGATAGAGAGAAACATCAACGTGCGGTTGCTGGGGGTCATGGCCTGCAACCCAGGCATGTACCCTGGCTGGGAATCGAACCTGCGACACTGATTCACAGCCCGCACTCAATCCACTGAGCTACGCCAGCCAGGGCAGGTTTAATTACTTTTTAACTATGAAGGTCATACGTGCTTATTGTTATGAAGAAGTTAAGGCGGGGCAGGAAAGAGAGAGAAAGTAGTAAATCCTGCGAGCAAGAGGGAGAAAGGCAGGAGGACGATTACCCGGGAACAAAGTGAAAGCTCCAGCGCTCACTCCCCAGGGGTCAGCGCTGCTGACCTGTGCATGTAACAGCATGCTCACTGGGAGACCTTTCTGGGGTTAGGATAAGATACTCACTAATCCTCTAGTGGAAGAGCCTAACATTCGGCCAGTACTCCACCAGAGAGCAGCAGGTGATATGCCAGTCTCACAAGCACTAAGCGTAACACTGCTGGTCAACCACTGAGGAATTAGAATCCCTAACAGATTCAAGATCCGGATGGCTAACATTCTGAAATAACCAAGGCCAAAGCTCTGAAGTACTTGGCTAAATGGCTTGGAAGTCTACACTTATAAAATGCTAGTAAACAGGATCCCTGGGAGTTCCAATAGGAAGGACTTATCCTTACCTTGGATCACAAACATTCTACACTGAAGGGCAATGAAAGGAAAACAGTTCTCCTGCAAGGATATTGCGGGAGACCTAAAAGCACACAAATTAACTGCCTAATTTTTACCTGGCTGGTGTGGCTCCGTGGATTGAGTGCCAGCCTGTGAACCAAAGGGTCACTGGTTCGATTCCCAGTCAGGCACATGCCTGAGTTGTGGGCCAGGTCCCCAGTTGGGGGCATGCAAGATGCAACCACACATCAATGTTTCTCTCCCTCTCTTTTTCCTTTCCTTACCCTCTCTCTACAAATAAATAAAATCTTTTTTTAATTAAAAAAAAAAAAGAACATGCAATTTTTAGTTTCTAGACATTCTGAAATGGTCACAGCTAACATGCAAAGTAGAAACGTTAAAGAAAAATTCTTGGGTTAAATAATGAATGACTGATTTGTCTCAGAAAACTTGTCTCAGAAAACTTGTGGGTTCTAAGTGGTTTTTATAATAGCCACAAACATTAAACAGAGGCAGTCCAGAAGTTCTCTAGCATTATCTTCTGTGGACAAATAAAACCAACAAGATAGCTCTTACATCAACTTAAGGGTTCTGTCTGGTAAAGATCCAGTTAGCAATGTCATGGAACAAATAACATAAAAATAGTATTTCCTGGCCTGTCAAATCATCAGTCAGACTAAAAATTCTCTCTTACCTTCGTAATAGGCTCATAGAGTGACTCTAGTGATAACAAAGATCTCTATGTTAAGGACGCATGTGAAAACTGTGAATAAAACTGTTACAAATGTGAATGGAAAAAGACAACATGTCTTTTTCTCTTTTGTGTGATTTGAAGTGTGCACGTGTAAAGCAGAATGAACAAAGAGTACTGCGACCACAAACCGCACAAGAGCCCACGCTGGACACACCTGAAAGACCGCCAGTGTCCACGGACGGTGCAGACCTTAAACCCGCTGGACGTGCTCGCCCTTAGTTCCCGCGAGAGTAGCGTGAGCCTACACTAACCAGACGAGAGCCTTCGCAACAGAAGTAATGACTCTGTAAAACTCAGTGATGACACAGACACCATTTTTAATGCTACATGCAAAGTTGGTTCTCCAATTCTTCCCAATTTCATATATTGTAAGATCAGCATGAATGGTTGTTACTGAAACTCAATATGTGAAAAAGGAATACATGAAATTAACAAGCAAAAAAAAAAACCCAGAACGACTCTAGTTTAAGAACTGTTGGGAAGCAGGAAGGTGCTTTCAGCGACGGTGAAGAACACACTCTGAAAAGTGAGAAAAGTATTTAAGAGAAGGCTCTTCTAACTTCCGAGTTTACTATTCGTTGTGCAGAGAGGCAGCACTGCCACCCTGCCCAGAAATGCAGGCAGCTGCAAGTCCTTCCCATGTTTGTGAAAAAGAGGAGAAGGACCTAGCGTGGCCCAGCGGAGACTTCTCCCAGGAGACTTCTCCCAGGAGACCCACGTCTGACTGGACTTGCTCGCCTGGCGGTAACAGAGGAAAACACACACTGTCCCTGAGGATAAACCTTAGGCCGTGAAAAGAAAAGGTAACTTTTGTTTTATAGCTGCCTTAGGAAGATAGAAAAGCAGTTAAGGGAAAACTCATTGCAAAGGGCCAAACGAATAGCAAAGGGCCAGGAAGCACTTGTACATTCCCTGGATCACTGTTTAAAGCATTTCACACGCCGAGTCAGCGACCCCCTCACGAGCGCACAGATTTTTCTTGCTGGAGAGAAATGTTTCGGCCCCTGATCATGACGCTCTTTTACTTTATAGAACCGGGAACCCCCAAATGGGGCCTGGCTTCAAATGTGTCCTGCCTGGTCAGTTTTCTTTCCTCTTCCAAGGGTCCTTCCTCCAACGAAGGTCAGGTCAGCAGAATCCACGTGGCCGACCCAGCGGCCTCCTCCTGAGCTGCAGCTCAGATCCTGGGCGACCGCTCTGCCCCGCATCCCTCCTGGCCCAGGCTGGGAAGGACGGGCACTGCGGCAGGTCTGCGGGAGCTCACCGCCTCTCACTGATGTCCGCTAGCGCTGCCTGCACTCAACTCTCAAGCATCCGGTTTAAGGGGCACTTTTCTTCTGTGTTTTTAAAGATTTTATTTATATTTAGAGAGAGAGAGAAAGGAAAGGAGATATATCAATTGGCTGCCTCTCTCGAGCCCCCTCACTGGGAACCTGGCCCGCAACCCAGGCGAGTGCCCTGGCCGGGAATCGAACCGGCAGCCCTTTGGTTTGTGGGCCGGCGTTCAGTCCACTGAGCCACACCAGCCAGCGCTAAGATGCACATTTTTTTTTCAACAAAGAAAATAAAGTTTACTCAAAATAGGCAAGGCTATGATTCAAATTCTTTTAACTCAACTTACTGTTCCTTCATCGGCAAATCTCTTGAGATAGTCTTTCAGTTCAGTCTTCAAGTCGTTATATTCTAAATCGAGACAACGAAATAGATAAGCCATTTGCTTTTAGGAACAAAAACCGACATTTAAGTATACAGTTTAAATTGTAGTTAACAATTTAAATTTCTTAGTTAATAGTTCCAATTTTTCTTTAAATGAAACCTGCAAAGGAATCTTTTTCCCAGTTTCTCCCAAATCCCTTCATTTTGGTATCAAAAATGATACTTTCACTTTTCTTATTGAAAAATTCAAAAACCAGAGAAAACCTCACTTCAGAAGAGATTAGCTGAGGATTTCCAATCTCTCTGGAACCCCAATATTTGAAGTCACCTCAGATCTGGCGAACAAGCAGCTTTAAAACTTGTCCGGTCACTCGACAACCTGTATTATTTCTGCAGCGCCTCCGGGGCTACGAAAACCATTTATATGGAACCCCCATCCTCGGGAAGCTTTTAGTCTAATAAAGGCCACGGGAAATCCACCAAACAGTCACAAATGAAAGACGGAGACGATGGATGCCACCGAAGGGGCACAAAGGAGGCGGCGGCGGCCCCGCAGACGCCGGCGGGGAGAGGAGCCACCGAGAGACAAGCGGCAGGCTCGGAGGCTCGCAGTGCGAGTGCGGGGCGCCTTCCCCCAGGAGCCTGCTGCGCGCCGCTGCGGCCACCTCCAGAACCGTCGGGAAGGTGGCGCGTAACACTCCAATGAAAACTAGTTTTCATCGGATGAAAAAAGAAATTCCTTCTCTAATAGTCTTGACTCACACGTCTACCCTTAGTCAAAAAGCAGCACACACTGTGGTTTCTCAGGCACGTCATTATCCCAGCAGGCAACTGACTCGACGGTAGCAGCAACCAAATACCCAGCAACGTGTCCCTTACTTGAGTACAGCGGAAATCTGCTATAAAACTTCAAATGTAAACTTTCTTTGTATTTAGTTAATAGGTATTATAGATGTCCTCCTTATACATATACTTTTCACTAGTCAAGGAAACTTTGGAGCTTGATGAATTCTCTCAAACAGAATTTACCACAAATGAGCTCCACTTGTTGGACTCGGTTCATGCTGTTGAGGGTGTCCATTAAAGGGTCTGTCCTGTCGGCCGCCTGGTCAACCTTGCCCTTGTTTTCATAAGCCAGAACTGTGTCACATTCATCTGTCAGGAACAGGACATCGAGATCGCCATACATTTTCTTTAAAAAAATAAAACCACGGTTTCCCCATTAGAGAGCATGTTATTCTCAGAAAGTCAACCTCATGACAATCACTACAAATTTAGACTTTTTTAGATTAACTGCAGAAAAACCTGAGCCTTTTACCAGAATTGCTTGAGTGATTTACTCTTTTTACCCAAATCTTTTAGAAATCTCCTAACTTCCTAGCAGATACTGTATTATCTAAGGGATCTTTATTTAAAAACGAATGACTTACTGTAACTCTCAAGCAATTTGTTTTCAAGCAATTCTACAATATAAAAAAGCTAAAAATTGCTATTTTTCCACTGAAATGAAGATAAGTAAATAAAAATAATGCATAGTTCTTCATTTCTTCCACAAGCATTTATATTGAAAATAATATTTCATAAATTTGCTTAATACAAAATTTTTAAACTTCTCTATACTTCTAACATCAATTTCATAAATACACTTTTCAGATATTATTTAGACATTAGTCCACAAAACACACTAACACTGCACTTGATCAGGCACTCACCATGCAGTCTTTGCAAGTGCACAGCTTCCTGCGCCAGTTCAGGGGCCAGTAGGTGGCAGAGTCCTTCTTCACACAATGCTTAGCTGCAAGCTCCTGAAGTCTGCAGCCAGACTGTGACTCGGGGTTGAGACACTGATTCTTCAACACTGTCTGGAATAAAATTAAGTTTTGAAGTATGTTTTTAAACCTATCATAGTTTATATTTGGAAGGAGATTTCTTTAGGCAAAGTATATAATTGAAATCCAAAGCTATACAGCTACAGAACTAATTTTGGTTAAGTTTAATTTCCTTTATGCCTCCTACTTCATTACCTGGAGATCAGGTTCAGCACTAGAGCTGGTACATGGTTCATTCGCCTGATCTGCTTTAACTTCCTTGACAGCGTCCTTTGCACGTCCTGGAGCATCCTCTTCAAGGACGCTGTCTTGATGACCTCCGTTTTCAGGCTTGCTCACTTCCTGATCACCTACTCCATCGACGTTCAGAGCCAACCCATCATCCTCAGCAGACAGTTTGGTTACTGCCGGGTCAATAAAAACACACCACACACACACACACACACACACACACACACACACACACACACACAGACCTTTTAGGCAACGAAACCACTTCACCTGATTAAAAGACACCTCAACCCTGGCTGGTGTGGCTCAGGGGACTGAGCGCCAGCTGTAAACCGAAGGGTCGCCGGTTTGATTCCCAGTCAGGGCACATGCCTGGGTTGCGGGCCAGTCCCCAGTTGGGGGTGTGCGAGAAGCAACTGATCGATCTCTCTCTCACTCATCAGTGTTTCTCTCCCTCTCTCCCTCCCTTCCCTAAAATAAATACAACCTTTAAACACAAGTCCGGACTGAACGCAGTCATCCGACGAGAACAAGCCTGGGGCACCCCAGCCCACGGAGACGCCCACCTGCCAGCTGGGCGGCGTAGGCCCACAGGAAACAGCAGCGCCGCATGCAGGCCTGGCACACCATCTCCTGGAAGTCCCCGCTCTCCGGGGGCGCGGCGCCAAGGTGCTACGGACACGGGGAACTGAGTTATTTTCCGTGTGACCTCCAGGCTGTCCAAAATGCTCGCTGTTTTACAAACAAGTACTGCAAAAGCACACCCATCATATCTTTACTGTATATTTTTAGAAGAGTAACTATAGTGTATGACAGACTGTTGGTGGTAACAATTCAAAAAGAGAAGAGCTTTTCTGCTTTGGTGAAGACAATGGCCCTAAAAGGCAAGCACTCTCCTTACCCTTCCGTGGAACCAGTCTTCACAGACCACGCACTGGATCATTTCGTCTGGAACCTGGCGTGGAAAAGCAGTTTGAATGTTAGTGATCCCACTGAGTTCCGGGCCATGGAAGTCAATCTGGCACACAAAATTAGATACTAACTACTTCTCCACTCAATCCGTGAGACCGCTACCCGTGGGGCACCCGAGGAGACAGGAAAGACAGCAGACCAAGGGACGGAGAGGGGCCATTCCAGACGAACTGGGGCTACGGAGGGGTTCCAGTGTGGCAGGCAGTTTGCAAACAGATGTCGAAGCTCTTTCACGAGTTGCTTAACACCCGATTCTCACAAACCTTTCTAAATAAGTAACGCGTCCTCATTTTATGGAAACCCACGCCCAGGGAGGTAATATGAATTAACCAATATGGACTATGACAACTGGGACTTTTTACCACATCATGGTATTAAATACTGAAAAATAAATGTTACACTCTCTTGATAATATGGACAGCCACAACTTCCCTAACCTAAATAAGTTAAATAAATAAATTCTGACCTAAAAAAGTATATACCATAGGGCATCAAATATTTTTAGAATGATTTTCCTTTCATTCCCAGGCTTTCATAGCTATTGATTAACATTCCGATGTTATTCGGTCTGTTCTCTATTACTGGTATCTTACAGGAAAAAAACCCCACATATATGTGTGTGTATATACGTATATATTAAAAAGTCAGCTTTATTCTTTCTTCTGCCTTGATCAATTTATCTGTTTTTTAAATTCTCAACTGAGGATACGTTTATTGACGAGAGACAGACAGACGCTGACGTGAGAGAGAAACACCAACAGGTTGCCTCATGTACGTGCCCCACCTGGAGAGTGAACCTGAAGCCTAAGTTTGTGCCCTGACCGGGAATCAAACCTGCAGCCTTTTGGTGTACGAGACAATGCTCCAACCGACTGAGCCAGGTGGCCAGGGCTGCCTGCAGTTTTACTGTCCGCACTATCACAGGTGCCCCTATTCCACTCCCCCTTCACCCACCTCCACCCAGCCCTTCCCTCTCCTCCTCCCAGCCCAACACCAGGCTCCTGTCCATGCCCATGGGTCATGCATATGTTCTTCAGCCAATCCCTTCACCTTCTTTCATCCAGGCCCCTCCTCCCGCCTCCCGCCTGACAGCTGTCAGTCTGTTCCATGTATTCATGCCTCTGTTCCTGTTTCGTTCATCAGTTATTTTGCTCGTTAGATTCCACATATAAGTGAGATCGTGTGGTGTTTGTCTTTCACTGACCTGATCAATTTATTGACTCAAAAAAAGTGTTATAAAACTTTATGCCATACCCTAAAATATTCAATTTTAAGGTTTTATCTTTGCTAACTTACAGATCTTTAATTTTTTCCTCTAAATAATTTGGTTAAATAATTAAAATTCTAAGACAAAAGGAAGATGGCAAAAAACTAATTTATCTAAATAAAAAGACTCCTCTCGCCCTGGCTGGTGTAGCTCAGTGGATTGAGCGTGGGCTGCGAACTGAAGTGTCGCAGGTTCGATTCCCAGCCAGGGTACATTCCTGTGTTGCAGGCCATAACCCCCAGCAACCACACGTTGATGTTTCCCTCTATCTCCCTCCCTTCTGTCTCTAAAAATAAAATAAATAAAAAACTTTTTAAAAAATAAATAAATAAAAAGACTCCTTTCAAATCAGTAAATACACAAAATCCAACCCAATGACACACTATGGGCCAGACGTGAAAGAACAGTTCAGATAGAAGGTTATTACAAATTTCCAATAAACTCATGAAAAGATGCATAATCTCACTCATGATTAAGGAAAGAAAATTTTTTAAAGATAATGTTCATCTATTAGAATGGCAAAATTTTAACAAATTGGTAATATGTAAGGATGACAAGACTTTTGGTGAAAAAACTGCCACACTCTATTGGTGGTTAAACCCTTTTCACAGACATGATCACAATTATATATATATTTTTTCAAGATTTTATGTATTTATTTTTAGAGAAAGGGAGGGAGAAAGAGAGGGAAACACCAATGTGTAGTTGCCTCTCACACACCACCAACTAGGGACCTGGGCTGCAACCTAGGCATGTGCCTTGACTGGGAATCGAACCAACGACCCTTTGGTTCTCAGGCTGACACTTGATCCACTGGCCACACCAGCCAGGGCTGATCACAATTTTAAACACAGATATCCTTTGACCCATCAATTCTACCTCTAGGTATCCATTCTACATAAATCCTGCTGGAGTTCACCCATTTATATTACTGTATAAGTAAGTGTATTCACCATAGTAGCCTTCTTCATAATACTGAAAAAATAGAAAATGCTGTTCTGCTACAGGATACTTAGGTAAGTGCCCTGGCTGGCGTAGCTCAGTGGATTGAGCGCGGGCTGTGAACCAAAGCATCACAGGTTCGATTCCCAGTCAGGGTACATGCCTGGGTTGCAGGCCGCGGACCCCAGCAACCGCACATTGATGTTTCTCTCTCTCCCTCCCTCCCTTCCCTCTCTAAATATAAATAAAATCTTAAAAAAAAAAAAAGAAACAATTTCCTTAAAAAAAAAAAAAAGAATACTTAGGTAACTAACTTATGGCTTGTTAAAGATACACTGACAAGTGAGAAAAGTTGCAGAAGTGAATGTATAAAATTTTCATTTTGTTAAGAGAAAAGAAACAGTAAACTGCACAGAAAGAGGTCTAAAATATACGCACCCAGTGGTTATGTCTGGGAGAAAGAAGGTATAGGCGTGAGAAAGAACTTTTTAAATTTTGTGTGTACATATATTTTTATTATGGAGAGAGACAGGCAGGGAGAGAGAGAAATATCGATTTGTTACTCCACTTATTTACACATTCACTGGTTGCTTCTTGCACGTGCCCTGACTGATGATCGAACCCGCAACCTTGGCGTACTGGAACGATGCTCTAACCAACTGAGCTACCCAGCCAGGGGAAATTTTGTGTATATTGCGAACTGAAAAATTTTAAAGGATCATTTAAATACACTCTTTCCTTCCAGGGAGGCAAGAAGCTGAAGGTCCTTTTTCGGGAAGTGTTCCGGGGAGCAGAGCAGGCGGGCAGGCAGAGGAAGGAGCCAGGTATGGGCTTGGGGAAAGTCCTGCTCAGCACTGCATTCCCGTGATACAAGAATGAGAATAGCTGAGGTCTGTACCAGTCATAAATCCAGCCCGGACTCATCAAAAGGGATAAACCCAGAACCCTTCACCATCGCCCAGTTTCCCCTGAACACCTGCAGAGGCCCAGACACGCCAGGAGGCTGAGGAGTGAGGGCCAGAGACCATACAGTCCCAAACGTCAACCCCCGTTCTCCTACCTCGTCTTCAGGGTCAGGATAGGGTCTCTTGCAAGTGCAATACAATCCAAAGAAGTTGTCATTGTACTTATTGCCAGAATTTATCTTTGCTTTGTCCTGAAAAATATTAATTTCAATATAATAGGTCCTAATATTAACTAATTTCATACATCATGACATTCTTGCATTCAACAAATTTCTGCATTAAATATACAAAGTAAAACCATTCACTCCTATTAAAGCGACACTTTTTCCAGGACACAGGAAACAAAGAATATTCATTTTTGTACCTTCTTTGTAGTAACTGGAGGAAAAGTAATGTACTCATCTAATAAAATAGTAATAAATGTTAATCATAAATATTAATTATCAATCTATGTAAGCTGACATTGGCCTAGAATTTCAAAGTACTTCTTAACAACCGTCTGTAATAGCTAAAGTCCCCAGGTCTCTAAGAGGTAAAAATAAAAACAAACAAGAAAACTGTCTAAAAATAACCTTTAAAGGAGAAGAAAGCATTATAGTTTTAACAATTATGACTGAATAATATAAAATCCCTTTCTTTCATTTGTCATTTCACTAAGTTATTGTATGAGCATAGTTTTTATTAGCCAAAAAGCAGTGAATACCTCCCGTGCGCATCTAGCCCACACTCATTACCACCAAGGTCTATCCACGTTTCTAGACTCATAGCTTTTGCTGTGACAGCATTAGCACACGAGCACAAGCAACATAATTAAACCTGAATCACTGCACAGAACATTCCCCCAAACATTTCATCTTAATTACAACCTATACTGAACAGATCTGAACAGCTTACTTTGTTCTCCAATAGGATAAAAAATGGAGCCTAATATTGATTTGCCTGTTTGCAAAGAATAAGCACAAGAACTTCTTTTTTGGAAAATGTTTGGTTTTTATCCACTCTGTCAAATGTCAATTTCAGCTATTTTCAGTGCATTTACAGTTATAGTGCTTACTTACAGGAAATAATTTGCATTCCAAATTTTTAAACTTGCTGTTTCCACAATCACAACGAAAATTTCTGAAACAAAGGAGAAAGAGCCCATTTTAATTTTCCTTTTAAGTCTAATGACTTTTTAAAGTTCATATCATAACCTCATCCCTTTCCAATCATTTCTAGAATCTAAAAAGTGGCTTTGGTTGCTGCTCATTTGTCCCAATTCAGAATTTCTCCAACACGGAATTTCTTCAGATTTAATAATTCTAGAAGTTAACATGCAGAGATAATGATCGATACAACATCCAGAGACACAAGTAAATTAACGGCAGAGAACGATGAGTACTTTGAGTTAGTACCAAAATTATATTTTAAGAGGCCCTCTAGAAAAGCTATTTCTCGAACAGTATTATATGAAACAACTATAATAAATTTCACCAGTGCACAGCCAGTTTGACTGGGAAAGCAAGCTTAAGAAAAAAGCACAGCTGGGAAGGAATCTGCACATTTAAAAAGCATTCAGCACCAACCTGACTGTCTTTACCTTTTTGTGTATAGCTCGAAGAGTTTGTGACTTCCGTGACATTCGTAACTGCAAGCGAGGCAAATGCCTGCTGGTTCTTCTCCCTCTGGGGTGCACGTACTACAGGCATACAGTGCTTGTCTCTTCACAAAGCCCTGAAAGACAGCCCCGAGGTTGGAAAAGAGAATCAATGAGATACGGCATAGCTCCCTAATGCCCTACTGTGACCTGAGAAATAACTGAAATCAGATCATCTGTCCTCAGGATCTTCCTGCAAAACCACAGACACTAATAAAAAAGCGTATACAAGAGTACCAAAACACTGTTGGATGTTTTTTTATCACCAATGTGTTTTCTTTCTTTCTCTTTTTTATTTATTGACTTTACAGAGAGAGGAAGGCGGGGAGGGAGGGAGGAGAGAGAATACATCGATCTGTGGTTCCACTCACTGGTGCGCTCAATGGTCGATTCTGGCGAGCGCCCTGACTGGGGTCCGAACGCAACAGTGTATGGGGACAGTGCTCTAACCAACTGAGCTGCCCGGCCAGGACCTTCCTAGTGCTTGTTTTCATACAATTTTTCTTAAAATGATGGGAAGTTCTGCCCTGCCTGTGTGGCTCAGTAGATTGAACTCGGGCCTATGAACCAAAAACTCACTGGTTTGATTCTGAGTCGGGGCACATGCCTGGGTTGCAGGTCAGGTCCCTCTGATGCTTCTCCTCCTCTCTTTCTCCCTCTCTCTAAAAATAAATAACTTTTACAAGTAAATAAATAAATAAATACGATAATGGAAAGTTTAATATCTTCAATTAGCTATGAATAATCTGGTCTGCTTCATCATTTTAACACGTGGAAATGGAGGGGAATGCGTGTAGGCTTATGTAGTATCACCCTTCAACTGTGGAAAATGCTTGGGATTCCACCAAAGAGAAAACCAACGCGTTAAAAAAAACTCCCCCCTTTTTTTTAAAGAAGATGTATATTGAAACACTTAGAGGTGCAGTGTGGCGACATCTGCAGCTTATTTTCACATGGTTCATCACCAAACAAAAGAGAAAGTATGTTATAAAGAAGAAGAGAAAGGTAAATGTAAAATGTTAAAAGATGAATATATGTTAGAGAAACCCAAGCATTCATAGTATTCTTTCAACTTATTTGTAGATTAAAGATGTTTTAAAATGAACAGCTGAAGAAGAGAACAACAGGCAAAACCCTTACAGATCCTGCTGCCCCCCTCCTGCAGGAGGGAGCTGTAGAGAGGGAGCAGCCTTCCACTTCCCGATCTGGGGGGGCAGGCACCCACCTCTGCGGGTTTGTTTTCAAGCCCTACACATGATGTGTACAATCTCCCACATATTTTACTACAATAGAAAGTTTAAGTTCCTTTTTATAAAGCTAACTACATTCTAAAAATAGCTTATGTACAGACTTTTTTTTTTTTTAAAGACAAGCAAAGGAAAAGGCGTTCTAGGAAAAGGCGCATTTCACAGTCTAACCACTTCGCAGGGTCAACTCAACTGGTCAATGACAACAAGGGGTATTGTGACCTCGGCCCACACCGCGGAAAGACCCCACGACTGTCCTCACTCCCCAGTGTTCCCTCCCACCGCCGCGGAAGACGACTTCTTCATCCTCCCAACGCTCACCCTTCGTTAGTTTTCTCCTACCCACCTCAATCCATTTTTGCACCTAGAAATACACAAGATGAGTCACACCACGCCACATCACACCCCCTCCGATCCTTGTTCGCGTCTTCCAAACGCCGAATTTCCTCTTCAAGCAGATCTTTCTCTCCCTCCTACCCCCTTGTCAGTGCCATCTGCGCTTCTGATTCCTGTCCCCAACGGGGTAGACTGCAGAACGACACAGTACTTGTTTCGTCTCCCCCAAAAACGACTAGCTAAACTAAATTGCAAAGGAACCGACTGTCAAGGAGCCCAGCCCAACCGGGAGATTTTCAAACCCAGGGCTCTCTCCTTTAATCCTGCTTTGACTCTCCCACTCGGTTCCCAATAAATACTCTAGGGTGGGAAAAGTAGGGACGAAGCTATGAGAGTCACGGGAATGGTTGCGTGAAAACCAGCCGGGCACCGAAAAGAGACAGAGAGGAAGACAAGAGCAGCTGCCCCAAGGCCAAAGCCTGGAGAATCCTGAGAGGCCGGAGGAGGGCCGAGGGCGGAGGGGGTCCATCTTGGACTCGAGCTGAAGGTAAAAGGGCAGCTGGGCCTGGGATGGGGAGGCCTACGACGAACGGCGGCTCCAGTCCACCGCGCGGAAGACGGCCGCGGCTGGCGGGAACCGGACAAGTCCTGCGGGGAAGAGAAGGTTCCGCGGGAGCCCGAAGGAGGCAAGGCCCCCGCCGCGCGCCCACCTGCGAATAGGAGCACTTCTCGGAGTCGCTGCCGCCCAGCACGGCGCACGCCTCATTCTCCAACTCCTCGTCCTCCTCAAGGACGTCGACCAGCGATACCACGGGCTCCAGTTCCGACTGCCGCCCACCGGGACCGTCAGCTCCCGCCATCCTCAACTGTCACAGGACCACAGCTTTGCACCGGCGGAGGCGGGAAAAGCGACCACGAGAGGCGTGGCCGGAGGAGGCGGGTCCTGAGACCCACGAACCAATCCTAAAGAAAAGGAGCCAAGGAAGGGGAGGAGCGACTTCCAACAAACGGAAGTCGCTCCTCTCCTTGCTCCCGCCTGATCCGGCGGCGAGCTGGTTTTCGCTTCCGGGTGGTACTCTCCTGGCGCGTTCTGGAAGCACAGTGGTTGCCATGGAGGTACTGGGCGAGTACGTTGGGTTGGACGGGCAGCGGCAGCAGCTACGGGTGCCTTGTGAGGCGCCGGGCGACGACGGCGACCCTTTTCGGGGCCTATTGTCCGGCGTGGCCCAGATGAGAGAGCTGGTGGCCGAACTCTTGGGCCCCCTGGAACAGCGGGAAGCGCGGAGCAGGGTGGCGGTGGCTCCAGACGAGGCCTTGGACGGTGAGTTCTGAGAGGGTGGAAGGCGGGGAAGAGGAGCTCGGGGAAATCTGTTTGGGGATCCCGTGTAAAGTATCGTACTTGAAGAAAGTGAGCCCCGAGAGGGTAAAAATTCCACCTAAAAATTGTTGACACCTTCCGCCGCATCTGGGCGGAATCTGGGCTGATTTATCTGGGCTGCTTCTACCTAAACGTTTTCACGACTCTGTCTCTCTTCGTTTATAAAACACACGCACGCACGCACGCGGGCGCGCGCGCTGAACTGCCTACTTTGTGCCAGGCACTGGGCTGAGTTTTGGAGAAAGAATGCGAATGAGTTACTCTCCCTGTGGACCCGAGTGGTGCGGGGTTAGGTAATAAAGAGTGGAAGTCCGACCCCAGGACCATCTGTATCTGCAAATCGGGAGAACCCGGGAAGGCTTCAGAGGGGGCATGCCTTGAGCTGGGTGTTGAAGGAAGAAAGGGAGTTTTACAAGGTGTGAAATTACAAACGTGTGGAAGATAGCAGTCTGTCGAAGAATAGGAACAGGTTTTGAAGGTTGAGATAGATTTCAGTTTAATTAACAAGTTTTAAGACTCCCAGGCACTGCTCTCCCACATCCCAGTTTCGTAGGTGCAGTCTGAAAGTAGAAACGTGAAATTTAACTGCTTTAATATTTTTTAAATCTTGTCTGGAATGCAGAAATAAGTAGGTTACATTTTGACTGCCCTGAAGAACCCAAGAACTAAATATTAGAGTCAGGGCTTAACTCCTCTGTAGAATAGTGAAAACTTTGTGCTTTCCTTTTCCATCTTGATTACTTCTTAATAGTTCCAAATAATATGAAAGAGACGGTTTGGAACATTACAGTGAGTTCAGATAATAGATTGTTTCCGAGTCACATATACCTAGAATGAAGTCCTGTTTTGTGGCTCCAGAAGTACCTCTCTGTTGAAAATGTTGTCGGCATAAGGACAAGAGCATAGCTAGAGTCGTTTTTCAAAATTTGTCATTACTATTGGAAAAAATTGGAAAAATAACTGCCACTCATTCTGTTAATGGTTCTGTTCTCCTATTGGAAAAATAACTGCCCCCTGCTCTATTTCTGTTGAAAATGTTGTCGGCATAAGGACAAGAGTATAGCTAGAATCATTTTTTAAAATCTGTTATTACTATTGGAAAAATAACTGCTACTGTTCTACTAATGGTGAGTCAGTAATGTGTGAACATGTTTTTCTATGATTTGCTTAATGAAATCCCCATAAAGCTTAGGTTTGAATTGCCTCTGTTAAATAAAGTGATAAAGATGAAATGGGGAATTTTATATTACATGAATTATATCTCATCAAGTAACGTACAAAATAAAAAACTATAAGTATTAAGGAAGAGTGATAGAACTTAACACTAAAAGTACAAATAATCCAATTACCAAATATACAAAGGATTTGAGTAGACAGTCCTTCCAATATGTGAGGCCAGTAAGCACATGGAAAGATGTTCAGCATCACTGGCCGTCAGGGAAATGCAAATCAAAACCACAGTGAGATGCCACGACATGTCCACTAGCATGGCTATAATCAAAAAAGAACAATAGCAAGTGTCGTCTAGGATATGAAGAAATTGGAGCCCTCATACGTTGCTGGTGAAAATGTAAAATGGCCTACTTCTTTGGAAAAGAGCTTGGCAGTTCCTCAAAAAGGTAAATACAAAGTTACCGTCTGACCCAGCAATTCCACTCCTAGTTCAACCAAGAGAATTGGAAACATGTCCACACAAAAATGTGTACAGCAATGTCCATAACAGCATTGTTCATAATAGCTGAACAGTGGAAATGGCACAAATGCTCATCGACTGATGAAGGGATAAACAAACTGTGATATGTCCGTGTAGTGGAATATGGTTCAGCAATAAAAGGGAGTGAAGTGCAGTGCATGCTACATGAATGAACCTTGAAAACGTGCTGAGTGAAAGAAGCCAGATTCGGAAGGCCACCTATTGAATAATTCCATCTCTGTGAAATGTCCAGGATGGAGAAATCTGTAGAGACAGAAAGTAGACAAGTCGTTGTCAAGGACTGAAGGGGATAGGCAGTGACTGCTTGTGGGTATGGGAGTTCTTTCTGGAATGACGGGAGTGTTCTAGCATTAAATAGTGGTGGCAATTGCACAACCTTGTGAACATACTAAAAATCAATAAGCTGTGTACTTTAAAAGAGTGAATTTTATGATTTCATGAAGCTTTTTAAAAAGTGATAGAAAAGGTTTTAAACACCAAAATGACTGAAATCTCTTTATTGATAACACATTTCAAATCTGGCATATGCCTGGTTTTATTAATCCTAAAGTAAAATGGTCTCGTTTTCAACCATTTTAATTATATTTCTTTCAACCACTGAACATATTATCATACAACAAATGTTTATTTTAAAAGGTGATGATGAAGATGATGCAGAAGATGAAAATAACATTGATAACAGAACTAACTCAGATGGACCATCTGCAAAACGGCCAAAACCACCATCTTAACAATAGCTTTTATGAGTTTTAACAGACTGCTGCCACACTCACTTCGGCAGCACATACACTGAATTGGAACAGTATGAAGAGGATTAGCATGGCCCCTGCACACACAAATGCACGAAGCGTTCCAAAAAAAAAAAGACTGCAACTCTATCTTAGTTATCACTGACATTTAAGGAAGACTTCTGTTTTAATTTGTTTTGTTTCCCTGGGACACTTTTGTTAAAGAAAAGCAAACTTTATTCTGTTTCCAGCCAAGAAAGATACAATAAATGTTTAGAAATCAATCTGTTTTCTTGAATAAGAAATTTCAGACCATGGAAATAATAGAGAACACTTTATAATGTATAAAAAATCCTCTAAGTTGGCAACTGACTTTGTATTATTTTCTACTTTTAAAATAACCATTGAATTAATTTGTGTGATGTCTACATCTTTTAAGTTCAGCTTCTGTTATAAAAAGTAATGTGATTCGTGGTCAAAAATATTTCAAAGAACTGACATGAGCAAGGGATGAAATTGGGTAGTGAGTATAAGAACGGCAGTCTGTATCATAGGATTGTATTCTTGAAACCTACATAAGTAACCAATATCACCTCAGTGAATTTAATTTTTTTAAAAATGGCAGTTTAAGTAGAAGGAAACCGGGAATAGAGAGAAGAACTGAAGGAAGATAAAGAGCTGTTGAAAGAAACCCAAGGAAACCTCGAGTTCATGCTCACTCCCAATATACAGGCATCTAGAGGTGACGCGACTCTGAACACACAGGTGAGCCGGCAGTCTGTGCACAGTTCCGAGTACACAAAGCAGAGTTTATTCTTGTATTACTATTGGTCCATTGTATTTTCCATACGTACAACATTAAACCTACTTCTGCCCCACCCTGTATGTTTTAACTTGTACCTTAAGAACGCCAAATGGGTTTTCTTTTATGCCGTCGTGGTATGTCTCTCTCTCTCTCTCTCTCTCACACACACACACACACACACACACACACACACACACAACCTTTAAGTAAGTCTGTGTGCACTGTAACTTAGATACTTCCTATCAGCCTGTAGCCATACTGGTTTTGCTTAACCAAGGGCTGTCGTAAAGCCTCGAGGTGGTGTCCGTTCTTGTTGGTGGGACTGAGGCATTTTTTATTTACTGTGCATGTTTCCTGATTCATTTAGATAACTAAAATGCAGAGAAATCAAGTAGTTGTACCTAATGAGATACAAATAGTCATTGATTTTTAGAGTTGGAAGTAACCTTATATACGTGTTATATGATTATTTCAGAGATAAATGGCATCTTAGAATCTGTGTTTGCCCTGAGTTACAGAACTGTTGGCAGAGCTGAGTCATACACATAGCCTTAAAAAGGTGACCATAGTACTATCCCAGTTACAGATTCTGAAATCTATAGCTTACAAAGTACATGCTATAAAGGAAACGGATTTACATAGCTTTCCATGTCTTTAAGGTATTGTTTTAGGGTAAGGTATTTGGGACATCAACCTTCTCTTAAGTACTCTCATGTAATTAAAACATTACCAACTAGAAAGTTGTATACAGATGCTCTTTGACTTATGGTGGGGTTTATATCCCAGTAAACTCACTATAATTTGAAAATACAAGTTGAAAATGTATTTAACACACTTGCCAAACAGCTTAGCCAGGCCGACCTTCAACACGCTCAGAGCACTCCCATCAGCCTGTGGTGGGGCGAAACCGTCTCCCCCCCACTGCCCAGCACCAAAGAGGAGCGCGCCACATACTGCTGGCCTGGGAAAGCGCAAAATTCAACATTTGAAGTAAGGTTTCTACTGAGAGCATTTTGCTTTCACACAATCATAAAGTCAAAAAAACCGTAAGTTCCACCATTGTAAGTCAGAGACTGTAAGTGGTCAGAAATGATCTTATTTGTTCAGTTATGTCTAATATTGGTACCTCAGCTTAATGACTTAAAATGACCTTTTATCTTTCATAGCTATAACCTGTAAAAATGGCATACTTGTGTAATTAAAATAGTTCATATTTTTTAATTAATAGCTAAACTTCGCTCCTGAATGTTTTGTTTCCTTCTTTGTTTAGTAAATATGTTTATAAAGAAGAAATTTCAAGGTATGCACACTTGGGATTCAGTGTTTTATGGCCTGGGTTATAGGTTTTATTGAGCTCTTCCTTTAGTACTGATTTTAATTCTAATACTGTCTTCGTCATAAGTGAGCCATACATGTGGCAATAAAAGTCAGTTTGAAGGACCAGTCTAAAAGACATGCCTTGCCTGGTTTTCCAGTCTCCTTGTAAGGGTACAAACGTTAGCCACAAGCAAGCAGAACATGGTCCAGTTGCCTTTCAAACCCTGGGCCAGGTGACTTCTTCTGCCTGTCTACTCTTCTCATCCTTTGGGTTTCGACATGAATATTTCCTCCAGTAGACATTTCCTGGCTCCCTGGACGACGTTAGGTCCTCGTGCTGCGTGGGTCTGTGCGCCTAGCACCCTGTATTTCCCCCTGATGACACGGAATGTACTGTAAAAGCATTATTGCTTCAGCTACTCAGAAGTTTTAACTTTTATTAAGAAGGCCTGGGCTTTTAAAGGACATAAAGTTTATGGATTTAATTTTTATTGATTTAAGAGAGAGAAAACATCAATTTGTTGTTCCAGTTATTTGTACATTCATTTGTTGATTCTTGTGGGTGTCCTAACCAGGGATTGAACCTGCAACCTTGGTATATGGAGATGACACTCTAACCAACTGAGCACCCAGTCAGTGCTAAACCTTTATGAGAGTTTATTTGAGCCAAACTGATGACATGCCAGGAAACACGGTCTTAAATGCTCCAGAATGTCATTTCTTATATAGCAGTGAGAGTCATACCTTAGACATCCTAAAAACCTAGGTTTCTTTAACTCGGTTGTCAGCCACCATGTGGTAATAAAATGTTTACAAGAAATTCCTGTTTGCCCTGTGAGCCACTGGAGTGGCTCAGTGCAGTGAGTGCCGACCTGTGAACCGAAGGGCCACTGGTTCGATTCCCGGTCAGCATACCCCTGGGGTTCAGGCTGAGTTTCTGGGTTGGGGGCATGGGAGAGGCAACCAGTCAATGTATCTCTCACATACATCATTGTTTCTCTCCCCTTCCTTCTCCCTCCCTTCCCATCTCTCTAAAAATAGTCTTTTTTTAAAGAAAAAAATCCTGTTTGAATTGTGGTTGAGCACTGCAAAGCTATATTACCATGAATGCAGCTAGTGATAGTTTCAGATAAAATCAACATTAATTAAATTATACTACAATCATTCTTGTGATCATTTTTCTTGGATATCTAAGTATATAGTAGGCAGAGTATGAAATTCTTACCAAAATTGAACAATATGGGGACAGGCAAAAGTAGGTTTACAGTTGAGCCCTGACTGGTGCAGGTCAGGAGTTGGGTATCACCCGGCAGACCAATAGGTCACCAGTTTGATTCCTGGTCAGGTCACTCCTGGGTTGCAGGCCAGGTTCCTGGTTGGGAGCATGTGGGGTATGCAAGAGGCAACCGGTCAATGATTCTCTCCCTCTCTTTTTCCCTCTTTCCCCTCCCTAAAAATAAAATATTTTTTTTAAAAAGTAGGTTTACAGTTGCATATGCGAAATACAGTTTATTTTTGTATTATTTATTACTGTATTATTTATATAACTGGAAACCTACTTTTGCCCACCCCTGTATTTGTAAAATAGCACTCAGTTTTATTTTAACAAATGAGAAACAAATTGGTTTGATGAAGCTGGGTCTTTTCTCACTACTTAGAATGTAATATTGGGCTGGCCAAAACGTCCATTACGTTTTTTCATTTCCACCAGTAACTTCATTGATTTGGACATTTTGAGTCTGTTGGCTCTCTCCCACTATTGGCTTCTAGTGGGGAGAGCCCAGGGGTGCTGCTAAACATCTTCCAATGCATAAGACAGCCCCACAACAAAGAATTGTTTGGCCAAAATGTCAGTAGTGCCAAGAAACTTTGCAGACCACTTTTGACACGTTCGGTCAGTCACAGCACCTTCTCTATCCACTGCACAAATCTGTTTTTGCATTTCAGTTGCATTTGTACCTTTCTTGAAATAATAAAGCACAATACACCAAAAATGTTCCGTATCTTCTGTCTTCAATATTAAAATAGCTGCACAAGAATTCACCAATTTTGGTAAGTTTTTTTAAGTGCATGCTGATATGACAGCTGTCACAATACAATATACCAAAATTGTTCCGAATGAAGTTATAGACAACTAAGGGCTACTAGAGCCATCCTGTGGAAAAAACAGCGGACTTTTTGGCCAAGCCAATAAACTTCAGGTAGATTGAAGAATTTTAGTGTAAAGAACAGAGCCATTAAAGTACTAAAAGAAAATGGAATAATAGTTTTTATAATTCCAGAGTGAGAAAGTTTTCCTAACCAGGGTTTTTGAAAATCTAAAAGCCATAATAAAAAAGATTAGTAAATATGATTACATAATGTTTCTGAACATTCTGTAAGGTTAAAAAACAAAGGGAAAAGTATTTCATATTTTCAGCACAGATGACTAAGAATTAATTCCTTTTATGAGTCTCACATGTACCAGTCAGAAAGAATAGAAATGGGCAAACGAAAGGAACAGCAAGGTCACAAGAAGTATGCATGGCTTTTAAATGAAAAAAATGTGCCACTTCCAGGAAATGAAAATTAAAATACAATGCAGTACCATTTTTCACCTTTCAGACTGAAAGATCAAAAGTTTTGATGCAATATTGAGCTGGAAAGGATGTGAAGGTCTATAATATATTGATGTTGAGTGTAAATTGGTATAAGCTCTTTGAAAGTTAAGTTGATAATTCTGTTCAAATGTTAAATATATGTGCTCTTAGATTTAGCAGTTTCACTTATAGAAATCCTACAGATAATAGCAACATGTGCACAGATCTGTTACAAAACTATTTACTACAGCCTTATTCGTAGTAACAAAAGGCAGTAACACAACCTAAATATCCATCAGAGGACCTTGTTAAATAAAAATAGTGTGTTTGTCACATTAGAACATTTGTGCAGGCATTAAAATGACCAAGGTATAGCTGTATGTGTTGTTAAAGATCAGTCTCTAGGATATGGTGTTAAATGAAAACTAGCAAACTATACAAACAGTGTGTAGAATGCTATTATTAAAGACTATTGGCTGGATATACTTATACTTTCTCTGAAAGGATAATGAAACTGCTTGTAGAGAGAGTAGGGGTCAGGAGTGAAAGGGAGATTTTTCATCATATAGTCTTTTTGTTCTCTTTTTATTTGAAAAAATCATGTTGCATGTTTTTATACACAAATACAGAAGTTACTGTGGAATCTGCCGCTGCCACCACAGCTGCCGTGACCTGCCAGGACAGCGCTGCGGCCGAGCATCCCTAGGCATCACATCAGAAGCTGCTGACCACTCCCCAGCCCTCGCCAAACACGTCTCATTCTCCACACCGCCAGTGCGCGGTCCCTGCAGGCACAAGGTGGGCACCATGGCCGAGAACTTGAACTGCCACCACTGCAGTGAGCTCCTGCAGGGGAAGAACTACGTGGAGAAGGACGGCCACCGCTGCTGCTTGAACTGCTTTGACAAGTTCTGTGCCAACACCTGTGTGGAATGCCACAAGCGCATCAGTGCGAACTCCAAGGAGGTGTGCTATAAGAACCACTACTGGCACAGCTCCTGCTTCTACTGTGCCAAGTGCCTGCACCCCTTGGTCAACGAGACCTTTGTGGCCAAAGACGACGAGATCCTGTGCAACAAGTGCAGCATGATGGAGGAGTCCCTTACGTGCAAGGGCTGCTCCAAGCCCATTGTGGCCGGCGATCAGAACGTGGAGTACAAGGGGACTGTCTGGCACCAAGACTGCTTCACCTGCAGCAGCTGCAACCAAGTCATCGGGACCGGAAGCTTCTTCCCTAAAGGGGAGGACTTCTACTGCGTGACTTGCCACGAGACCAAATTTGCCAAGCAGTGCGTGAAGTGCAACAAGGCCATCACGTCGGGAGGAGTCATGTACCAGGATAAGCCCTGGCATTCCGAGTGCTTTGTGTGTGCCAACTGCTCTAAGAAGCTGGCCGGGCAGCGTTTCACCACTGTGGAGGACCAGTATTACTGTGTGGATTGCTACAAGAACTTTGTGGCCAAGAAGTGTGCTGGGTGCAAGAACCCCATCACCGGGTTTGGCAAAGGCTCCAGCGTGGTGGCCTATGAAGGACAATCCTGGCATGACTACTGCTTCCACTGCAAGAATTGCTCCGAGAATCTGGCCAACAAGCGCTTTGTTTTCTATCAGGAGCAAGTGTATTGCCCCGACTGTGCCAAAAAAGTTGTAAAGTGACAGGATCTCCTGTCCTGTGAAATGGAATCGAGTCTCGTTCCTTGTGTCCTCACCCTCTGCCCTGCCCCACCCATAGGAAAAGGGCAGCCTTTGACCTCTTCAAAGGTGTCCCTTCTGTCTCTTCTCCCATTTTATAGTATTAAATAAGGGCACACGGTGATCAGTCATTAGAATTTAGCAAAAAGCAACTCTGCAGCAAAGTTAATTTCGTGATGGCTGCAGTCAAAACATGAACACTTAGATCGACTCCTCTGCATGTTTAACATAGAGCAGAAGAGTACTAACCACTTAGCTGTTTAGCGATGTAAGCCAGAAGCCTCAGACATCGAGTCCCCAGAGATGTCCTTCCTGGCCCAGCGGGGCCACCGCATCTTCACACAGCACCGAACGGCCGCAGCAGCCGCTCCAGCTCACCGCTCAGCGTGTGCTGGGAGCAGACAGAAAACCTACCCATGTGCACGGTTTAACTCCCGCATCAAAACCTCTTTTCTGTTCTTTTGTGCTTTTGATTCCCTACTACAAATTTCCAGAAAAGTAACATTTGAACTTAGCTGTAATTCTGATATTTTATCTTTTATTTTATTTTTTGGGGAGGGAGGGAGAAAAAGAGGGAGACAAACACTGATGTGAGAGAGATCCATCGATCGGCTGCCTCTCATACGCATGCCAACTAGGGACCAAACGCACAACCCAGGCACGTGCGCTGAGTGACCTTCACGTTGCCGGGATGACAGCCAGCCGATGGAGCCACACTGGCCAGGGCCTTCACCGCGACTCGAAGCTGAGATTTTCCCTGTGCTAACGTTTGAGTTCCCCATGTGCCCTGTTTTCTGAACGTTCCTAACTTTCGAGCACGGAATGTGCGGGCCATTTGGGACGTGTAAACAGATCTGAGAGGACAAGGCTGTTTGAGAACATGGTCCCAGCGAATACTTCTGGAACCCGAACAAAACTAACCCAGCTATCCCCTTTTTTTAAACTAATATTTCTGTTTTAATAAACAGCAGCAGAGTTAGGTTTGGAGACTTGCATGGAGGTATTTTAGGACCCCCACATGCTCTACAGTTTTGAAGTCATCCCACAGCAGGAGCCATACAACTCTGGAGGGGCAGCCGAACAGGTGCCAGGACTGTCACGGCAGGGATGTGGCGAGTTGACTTCCTTGTAACACCATTGTTGGCTCTTTGTCCCTGTGTTAAAGAGGCCCTCCAGCATCCCTTCTCTTGTGATTGCAGTTCCTCAGGAGCGGAGCTACACCTCCCCGGGAGTGGGAGGTCGCCGTCCTCACAGGCAGACTCCCATGCAGTGCTTACCTGAGAGCGGGCGCACCTGCCCGCCGTATTCCGGCGGCACTGTTACATGACACAGGAGAACGAGACGATCTCACGGTGAACGTGTAATGACGACGCATGTTACCAACACTCTCAGCAGCGGTTAGAGAAGCCAGTGCCTGCCTCCTACATTTTGTTGTTAGCTGTGACCATGCAATGTTTCCGTGCATCCTCACACAAACGAAGCGGCATATAAAGAAAAATTTCTGTGAAACTTTCCATTTTTACTTTTTAAAAGTTGTGCTTTATTTATTTAGTTATCCTTATCCAAGAATATTTTCATTGATTTTTAAGCGAGCAAGGGACATCGGTGTGCGAGAGAAACATGGATGAGTTGCCTCCCATACACTCCCCAGTCAGGGATCAAATGCAACAACCTAGGTAGGTGCCCTGACCAGGAATCGAACCCACAACCTTTTGGTATATGGGGTGATGACACTTCAGTCAAATGAGCCACCCAAAAGCCATATAAACAGTTTAAAGTGTCACTAATTCAGGGCAAAAATGAACCAATTCAGACTTAAAAAAAACCCACGTTTCCCAGCTGACAACTACTTTGCCAGAATAGAGAGTAGAGTGTGACTTGTAAAGAGGTGAGGAAGATGGGACTCAGTGTGAGGTAGGGTACCAGAAAGAAAAGGGAGATGTTTCTAAAACTGACGTGCCTAGTGTTAACCTTGGAAAAATTGCCCTCCGGCTAGTGCGGTATTCTCGAACTGTTAAACAGAGTTCAGTGTCACTGCAAGTATTCCATTCTCAGGTGAACTTGGGGTCAGAATTGCTCAGTTTAAAGACGTGGCTGAGGAAACAGTGAGTGCTGGACAGTAAGCGTCTATGGAAATCTTTTAAAAGTAGCAGTTGATGTTGGAGCCACTGGGGTCCAGTTTTCAATGGAAATTTACTCTGGTGCCAAAAATTCTGCTGGAGATAGAAGCCACTTCTAGAAAAACATTGCTAGTTGAAATGAGTGTCATGAGGCCGAGGAATGGCCTAGAACCCCAGGGCTCTGACCGGCATCCTGGTGCTCTGGGCGGTGTCGTGACGCTTGGTGCGTGTGCTGGGCAGTTAGGAAGCCGTCGTCACTGTTGTAACGAGGACTTCTCCAGACTCTGACCGCCAGGTAACACACACCGCTTGTTTGGGAATGGGTCGTTTTTCTCTGTATCAGCAAAGAACATCCCAAGACAGCCAACATGACAAGAATTGTTGGCAATAATACGTTGGGAGACTCATTTTAAATCTTGGCCTTGAAATGAACCTATCGGTACATGCCGAAACCTCAAAGAGTTTAATAACCAAACCTACCCAGTATATGTGACACTGTATGCTCTGCACTTGGTAAATGTCAACCTGCACCTTCCATGTTGCAGGCACTGTTCCAGGCATGGGGCATATAGCAGTGCACAAATACACAAAATCCCTCCCCTGCCGGAGTTCAGATCCTGACAAAACCTGTGTCTCGTGGTGCCGTGTGATGAGCACTGTGGAGAAAAGCACGGGGGGGGGGGGGGGCCGGATGCTGCATTTTCAGTGGGGAGGTCGGAGGCAGCCTCATTCGGCTGGCAGTGGAGCGGAGGTCTGAAGAGAGTGCTGGAGCGGGCCAGGCCCAAGCACCCAGGCAAAAAGGACCTGAGTGCAAAGGCCCTGAAACAGGTTTTTCTGGTGTGTGCTAGAATCAACAAAACCAGTGTGGCTGAAATGGAGTCGGGTCATGAGACTATTAGAAAGTGAACCAAATTGGGTCAAGGGCCACTTACTTACGACTATGCCATGTTAAGGACTCCGGCTTTTATGCTGAGCAGGATTTTCAAGACGGGTAGCATTTTGGAAGGATCCCTCACCAGTTGTTGTGTGGTGGGAGTCGTGTAGTAGACTTAGGGAGCAGGTTCTGGTGGGTGGAGAGAGCTGCAGCTTGGTTGGACATCTTAGTATCAAGTTGGCAGCTGGATATTCAAGTCTGGAGCTCAGGAGATACAAGGTGGTGGTATGTGAGCATGCAAAGCCATGAGCCTGGAAGAGACGACCGAAGGAGTAAGTGGAGAAGAGGGAACTGGGGCAGATCCCCAGGGGAGAACCAGCGAAGGAGACAGGAGAAGCTGGTGAGGAAGGGGGAGAGCCAGGAAAGCATCTAGAAGTGGGCTAACACACAGCAGCCATCAGTCCCTTGTGGCTATTTCAGTTAGGATTGAAATTTTAAATCCAGTTCCTCAGTCACAGCCATATCTCAAGGCTCATTTCATGTGGCTAGTGGCTACCGATTTGGGCCGCACAGACAAAGAACATTTCCACCTTCACTAAAGTTCTCTTCAGTGGTACTGATCCAGAAGCCAACAGAAGAAATATCTCAAGGAGAGGCAATATGTCAAAAACTGCTAACAAGTAATGTGAGGACTGAGGCTTGACCAATAGATTTAGTTAGTGTAAGTTACCGGCCACCACTTGACACGAAAGCAGTTTTGGGGGCGGGCAGCAAACACCTGGTCAAATTGTATTCAGGATAAACTGGAGAAGAGGAACTGGAATCAGAAAATATAGACACCTCGGTTTAATAGAGCTAGGAGATAAATTGCACCTTTCCCTCTTTACCAAAAGAGTGCTTTTAACTATTAAATAGTCATAGACAAAATAGTAATAATCAAACTTGGATAATTCCTAAATAATAAAAAGAAAACATTAACTTAGCAATCATTACGTTTGGAAATAATGCATTACTCCTACTGTAATTACTTTGATATTTATACTACCAAGGCAATAGTATCTTGAAAGACAGGGATGAACTAAGCATTTATTTACTAAACCTCTAAATACTAGAATCTGGCCCTGGCTGGCATGGCTCAGTGAATTGAGTGCCGGGCTGCAAAGCAAAGGGTCACTGGTTCAATTCCCAGTCAGGACACATGCCTGAGTTGTGGGCCAGATCCCCAGTAGGGGGTGCCTGAGAAGCAACCACACATTGATGTTTCTCTCCTCTCCCTCCCTTCCCCTCTCTCTAAAAATAAATAAATAAAATCTTAAAAATACTCGAATCTGAAGCATAAGAGATAGTCTAGTTCAACAAAAAGGAATTACTACTTTACAAGACAAGTGAGAAATTCACAAACCATGCATTACATCAAACATTCGTAAAACAAAAAGGAACATAATTTGCCCTGGCTGGTGTAGCTCAGTGAATTAAGTGTGAGCTGTAAACCAAAGGGTCCCCAGTTCGATTCCCAGTCAGGGCACATGCCTGGGTTGTGGGCCAGGTCCCCAGTAGGGGGCATGTGAGTGGCACCCACACTGACGTTTCTGTCCTTCTCTTTCTCCCTTCCTTTCCCTCTAAAAATAAATAAATAAACCTTTAAAAAAGTAACATAATTTTCTTAAATCATTTCCAAACTCTCACTGTTTCAAGACTAACCAAATAAAACAAGAAACTGCTCAGTAATTTCCCTCAAATTATCCTTTTTTTAAGAAGCAGTGTAGTAGAATGATAGAACTAGAGATCTGAAGCCAGACATCCTGGGTTCAAATCCTGGCTCCTCCACTTACTTGCTGTGTGACCACCGGCAAGTTATTAATTCCTACGTGCTCGTTTTCTCATTTTCCTCTTCTGTAAAATGGCACTAGTACCAGTACATACCTGCCTCATAGGGCTATTGTGGAGAATGAATGTAAATCACTCAAAGCAGTGCCTGCAGCATGCACACTACAATGTTCCTCTGACTTACGATGTCTACAGCTCAAACCCATCACAAATCAGAAGTATAAGTCGATCGCTGGCCAGTGTGGCTCACTGGATTCCGTGCCCGCCCGCAAACTGAAAGGTTGAGGTTCAGCTCCCAGTCAGGGCACATGCCTGGGTTGCAGGCCAGGTCCCAGAGCTGGAGCGTGCAAGAGGCAACCATGCTTCTCTCCTCCTTCCTTTCCCCTCTCTAAACATAAATAAAAATCCTCTTAAAGAAAATAAGTCAAAACGCATCTAACACACCTAACCTACTGAACCTCAGAGTTTAGCCTAAAAACACACGTAACCTACTGAACCTCCTACAGAGTTTAGCCTAGCCTACCTTAAACGTGCTCAGCACACATCAGCCTACAGCTAGGCAAAACACCTTGCTGCCCGCTGCCCAGCATCACAAGAATTGTACTGCAGAATGCTAGCCCAGAAAAGGGTAAAAACTCAAAGTACAGTTTCTACTGATCACACTGCTTTCACACCAGCATGAACTGGAAAAATCTTGTCGAACCATGGTAAGTCAGGGAATGTCTGTAATTAGCTAACGCTCAAAAGATGTGCTTGGGCTATCTGACCCTCACAGAAACAGGTATTTCAAACCACCGCTTACTTGGAAGATTCCAAGTACTGTAGCAGAAGGTAAGTCATTTCAGGAACTAGACCTATGGAGGTCGTAAAAGACAGAAATGAGACTAATTAAAGAATCTGATCTTGCTGCTTTTGAGTTGCAAAAGTACCTGCTTTATCTTTCCAGTAAAACTTTGCTGTGCAATGTGTGGCCTTCCATTGTGATCAAATCAGTCCTGTTGAAGTTTGAGGTTGCTAGAAACTTTTAGATTTTCAGTAGCTCATACAAATTGAGAAAAACTTTCTCAGCCCTGAGCAGTGTGGCTCAGTTGGTTGAGTGCTGGCCTGCAAACAGCAGGGTCAGCGGTTCAATTCCCAGTCAGGGCACATGCCTGGGTTGCAGGCAGTTGGGGGCCTGCGAGTGGTAACCACACATCCGATGCTCCTCTCTATCCCTCTTTCTCCCTCCCTTCCCCTCTCTCTAAAAATAAAAAAATTAAATCCTTTAAAAAAAAAGGCATCACATGCCCGGTTATACCTGTGGCTGTGCCACCTACCAGCTGTGACCTTTGGCAAATATCTTTCCCACCTCGGTGTTCTCATTTGTAAAACCTAGATAATTGTTAGCTCATAGGGTTGTTGCATTAAGTGGCTTAATTCATGTAAAGTTCTTAGAACAGGGCCCAACAGAGTCAAGCACCAAAAAATGTTGATTATTAAAATCTGTCAGTATGAAACATTTCCCTGGTATTAATGACATGACTGTATAAAAATATATCTTGATCTCACCCAGAAGAAAAGAAAAACTCCTAAAATCTAGTATTTCCATTTTTAGTTATTTGTATTGGTACCAGACATGAGGTAGTAAGTACAGATGCACAGGAAGAAGTACAAGGATCACATCTTCATGCAACTAACCTATCGCCTGATGGCCAGCCCTTAGGCTATAAAAGAATATCTGGATGATGACTTGATAGCATCCTTTAGAGAGCCATCACACAGCTGACAGGACTGGACCAAATATTTTCATTGCACACCTTGTTTCCATATTCTATGTGTAAGTAAGACTTCTCAACATTCAAATATTTAGACTCTTCCCAAGATTTTTTAAAAAACCAGTACCATTAATAATGGTAGTTAATTAATAATGCCAGTAGCATTACCAAAAGGAGGAACAAATCCTGCATATCAGGAGAGCGATCACCTCAATAATTTTATACCAATTTCTCACAAGCATAAATAGCTGGCTTTCAGAAGGATGAACTGGTATTTCCGTTTGAAGAATTTTAAAGCAAGCGAAGTAACTGGAAAGTTTAAATTTTATGACCACATTTGGGTCTTCTTACATGTTAAACACAATAAAAAATGTCCACACTCATTTTCCCCCAAAAGAAAAAATTTCTGAACCATCACTATGTTTCACAGTAGAATAAAAATAACAGACACGGTTTTACTTCCAAAATCTGAAGACATCAACATGATTTTGAAGTATTGTATCTCAGGCTTTACCTAAAATGTCCTTATTATTCAGTTAAGGATAGCCCCCCTAGTCACATTTTTTAAAAAGCCTCCGCCCCACCACAACTTCCTGAGATCTGTGGAAAAACTGCAGTCTTGTGATCGGGTTCCTTACAGTGCTGGCAGTTGGGTAATCAAGAGGAAAAAACGGTGACTGATTTTATGTGTCGATCAGTTGTAGTCTGCTGATCTGATTAGAAGCCTTGACAAATGCCTGATGGCGATTGCAAATAACTGCCAAGCATATGGGGATAATACAGTAGCCCACCGTTTTGGGGTCAGCTCTTGTACAAGAATAGAGGAACAGAAACATCTGTAAGTAAGGGATCAGAAAAATGATTGTCCAAAACCAAAATGGTAGGGAGAGTAACCGAGCTTTCAAGGAGTGTGTCCACGTGGTCCCTTCAAGGGGCTCATCTGGGTGCTGCTGAATGTGTTCCAAGGCCAGTCTGTTGTAAGTCTCATTGATTTCAAACACGTAGTAAAATGCGGCTGCACTTGCTAACAGATACAATCCCACTCCAATCCATCCCATCCGCTGACGGAAATTCATCATTCTCCATGCTCTGTGCCTTCGAAGTTAAAAAGATTAGAAGAGACAGTTAGGGTCTAGTCATGCTGCAACGGCAACCATTCCAAATGTACTTCCTTTATTTCTAATGAGTTCTAAATACCCTACTGCCGCATTTACAGTTTAAGACAAAAATTAACACATGTAAACAAAGTACAGGTTGTTGTTTTATGTAATAGTTATGAGGAATTATAAAAAGTTTCAGTATATACTGACTCTGCCTTTATGTGAATCCCACAGAATAAATCACTACAATCTGGCTTACAAAGGTCCAGTACGCCTTCCATTAAGAGACGGGAACTAAAGTGGTTTCCTACGGAACATGTCACTTTTACAGTTCAAATGCTTTCTGGCTTAATAGTATTGCTTCGGACGTGAACACTTGGTTCTACAAGTCAAAGCAATGTCGGGGCCCCCAAGTCAAGACAGTAACTCTTAAACACTTACAATGGTCCCGAGAATCTTCCTGTTCCCACGGCAAGCGTTAAAGAGTCACTCAGTTCAGAATACTCGGGTAGCTTTGGCATGTCAGAGAAAGCCACCATAAAAGAAATCCCCGGGGTCAACGGCTGGGAGAACGGTGCACGCGACCAGCCTGGAGCACAAGCTAACTGTGATTAAGCACGGCGTGACTGAGGCGGGTCTCGCGGCGGATCGGCCCCTGTCGCTGCTCCCGGAGCCCCCAGCCTCTGTCACCCGGCCCAGCCGGGAGATTCCCTAGCCGACCCCGCCCCCTGTCACGCTGCAGCATCCGCGGGCCGCGACCAGGGCTGCGCAGGCGGCGTCAGGCCCCGGCCTCTCTGCCTCGCAGCACCGGGATCCCAGTGCCGGGCAGCGGCCACTGGCCGAGCCTGCAAAACTGGGCAGGCCCGGGATCTCACCTTCCTGTCCGGGTTGGCCCGCCCGCTCGCCGTCCCGGATGCTGCCACAGTCGGGGCTTCCGGCTCGGCCCGGAAGCACGCTCGCCCCGCCCCGAGGAGTCCGCCCCCCGTGACGTCAGGGCGTGTCAGCCCCCGCGGCACCGCCTTCCCGAGAACTCCACCCACCGCGCCAGGTAGGGGCGCTAGGTGCGGCTGTGGGGTGTCTGGGGTGGGGCGCCGGGCCGCCCGTGGGCTCCTCGGCCTTGCCGCGGGTCCCTCGCTCGGGACTCTGATGACCCCATCGCCCCTCGCCGCGGAGAGAGCCGCGCCGAAGAGGCGGTCCGCCATCCCCTCCTCGCGCCTCTGCACAGCCCCCGGTAGCCCTCTCCGGTCCCCGTCCGAGTCGGGGAGTGGCCGCCCTCCCGCTCCTCAGGCCTGGCGTCCCCGGAGGCGTCGGGAGCTGGCCCTGGCTGGCGCCTCAGCCGCTGGCGGTGGACACAGCCCTGGGCAGCTAGATAACGGAGGGGCGCCCGAGGCTGAGGAGGGGGTTAAGGTGGCTGCTTGCCGCCGTGGGGACGCCCTGGCGTCGCCAGCCGCTTAGGGTGTGCGGGGCTTCCCAAGCCCCGGCTGGGCCCTTGACACCTTCAACTGACCCAACAGCGTTGTCCTCACAGGACCTGGAACTCGGGACGTCGGCGGGACTTATCCGGGATACTTCGAAGGAATACTGTGGATTGCGGCGGATGCCCCCAACAAATTAGAATTTAAATATGTTGTTTTGGGCACCATGACGCTGAGGCCCTTGGAAGACCTGTGTAGGGGGAAGGATATGAACCCTCGGAAAGCGCTGTTGATTGCCGTTGTCCCCCAGACCTGTAAGGAGGCCGTGCGGGCCAGTTTAGCTCCCTTAGGTGAGGGCAGGTTGGCCGGGAGGTTCCGGAGGGACGGGCATGGGAATGGGGCCTTAGTAGGGCTGCTGAAGAAACCAGTTTTGCTCTGGTCCCGAAGGAGATACCTGGAAAAGGCGGTGTCTGGACAGTGATCTCGAAGCCCCCTGACCCAGATAATGAATTTTTAAGCAGATAAACTGAATTTTTAGAAGAGGGCATACGATTGGTTGAGTTGATGTGAGCTTTTGGGTATGGAAACGACCCTTTTGACCCAGACCAGGACATGATACCAGAAATGAGGTCCCACATGTTGGCACAGGCATTAGATGAGGTTTTCAGCCTGCCCTGCGATGCCTGAAGTACGAGAAGCTGAGGATATTCTCTGGCAGTGATCCTCCAGGACCTGAAGAAGAAGAATTTAAATCCTGGCTGTTTCATACTCCTCAAGTGATGAAGACGCGGCAGGTGTCGGATGCAGAGAAAAGAAGGCAGTTGACAGCCTTAGAGGCCCAGCATATGATGTCATCTGTGTCCTCACGTTAATCAAGCCTTTATTTTCAGTCCCTGAATGCCTGCAGGCTCTTGAGCAGCTTTGGGGGGTTACTGATAATCCTAGGGATGTGCAGGTCAAATATCTGACCACTTACCGGAAGGATGAAGAAAAACTGTGTCCACACTGAGGCTGGTAGAGAGAGGGGCAGTTAAGAGAAGCTGTGAGTCAGGCCGCCCGGACCAAATCGTTGCTGGAGCAGCCAGAGGGTGGGCTGGCCCCTGGCTTGTCGGAGCTGCTGGCGCTGATAAGGGATGAAGATGACGCAGCTGAGAATGAGGCCCTTCTCCAGGCAGGACTGGAGTGGCACTTCACCTGAACGTTAGGAACGCAGAAGGGGACGGTGACAATAAGCAGAGCGTGGAGGTAGAGCAACCCATATACTTGGGGGCCAGACATCCCAAGCCCTAGCAGGTGATGCTGAGCAGGTAGCTCATTTCTGTACAGTTCTCAGTATAAATCCATTGTCACTTCTGTGTGGGTCATGCACTAGGAAGGCCGCAGTTCCGCACTGGCGTGTGTATAGTTAAACGCACTCCCGTGGACTTCTCCTCATCCAGAGCTGTGCGGGTGGTCTGTCGCCGCCTGTGTAGTGCTCTGAGAGGGGTGCAGGCTCAGGCGCCCCTGCCGATCTGACCGTGCGGAGATGGCGGCCTGCATGGTGACAGGTGCAGGTGCAGCCTGTCAGATATGTGTATCGTGGTTTTTAGGGGTGAGTTGCCCTCAATTTATCGGGAAGATTGGGAGCAGTGGTTAAGATAGTTTCTGTGTGAACCAGAATTTTATTGATTCTGTGCAGTCGTACAGGAGGCAGAGCTACATGCCGAGGTTAACTTTGCTGCTGCCACCTCTAACCCGAGATTCCTGATGTGTGTCATCAAAACATTTAGTTCTGAGCATCATTTTATGGGGTGGTATAAAATTACAGGTATGGACTTAGGAGTAAAGGAATGCTGATAAAATGAACTTCTTTATCCTTTTGGTTTATATCAGATTTCCAAAGAGATTTTATTGGAACAAAGGGTTCCAAATGCTTGAGTCTGAAAAGCACTGAATTTACGCAATCTTAGTCCCTGAGCGAGCTTGCTGGAGGGAGCTACTGAAGCACGCGGAATGAAACAAGGCCAAGGCCGTGCACGGATTCACACCAAAGTCGGTGAGGACACTGACGCATCAGCGCACTGATGAGAGGGGTCTCCCAGCTACTAAGTGCAGGGGCTGGATTTGCACCTAGGTGGTCTGTTTCCAAAGTCCTCACCCTTAGTCCCTCTTGTGATGCCTCATGAACTTCTCACCGAAACCTGTGAGAAACACCATCGTAGCTCCTGTTTCGCAGATGAAGACTTGAGGCTCAGGGAGCTAGAGCCAAGTGCAAGGGCACATGGTCTGACTCACAGGAGCTTTTCTCAAGGTGTTCTGACACGTGTGTCTGATAACCATGGCATCATTGTCAAAACGGGGGTTGTGTTTACAAAGTCCTGTGAAGTAATAATCTATGTTGTTTAAAAGCTATGTTTCAGCACCACCAGCAAAATCCAAAAATACTATAAGTTGTGTTGGAGTGATGGGATTATAAGGATGCTTTAGGGTTTCTTTTTGGTTTTGTTTTTATTTTTTAGAGAGCGGGGATGGGAAGGAGAAAGACAGGGGGAGAATCATCAGTGTGTGGTTGCCCCCCACGTTCCCCCAACTGGGGACCCAGCCCACAACCCAGGCATGTGCCCTGACTGGGAATCGAACCAGCGACCCCCTGGTTTGCAGATCAGCACTCAATCCACTGAGCCATACCAGCCAGGGCCCTAAATGTGTTTTAAAAAATAAATATGCAAGGGAAGTGCTCAAAAAGCAAAAAGAAGTTGGCATTTCAAAAGCACACAGGAGCCAGCCTGAAAGAGCTCCCACTGGTGAAATCTACAATTAGCAACATAATTGGATTATAATCTAAAATATAAATGTCTACAAGTTCATGCAGATAAAAATAAATGAATAAATAAATATGGGAGAAGAGTCAAATTTTACAGGAGAGTTTCAAATCATGTATGTGGATACTGCCCCCTTTGGAAGGTGGAGTTTATTCCCTTCCACCCTTCAGTGTGGGCTGAACTTAAGAACAGTGCGTGGGTTTGGCACTGTCGGCCGGGAACCGGAAGTCATGGAGGAAGAGCTGCTGGGCACCCAGTGCACTCACTTGACCCTTTGAGGACCTTCTGGCGGTTGGGCCTTGGCAGGGCGTACAGGAGGGCCCAGCCAAGACCTTCTGCACAGCCTGGGGAGTGGAGGGGCTCCTGGCCGTGTTCCCTGTCCTGGGAGCTGTCGGGGAGGCAAGTAGGTCGAACCAGTGGTTAGTCTGTGACCAGAGTGAAGTGGGTGTTACCATACCAGCCCAAGAAAAAAAAAAAAAAAAAAAAAAGAATTGGTGTGAATGGAATAGCATATGGTAAGGAAAATTAGTCACTTTTCCATGGAGAAGCCCAGCCAGGACTAGCGTGGTTAGGTGGCCAGGGTTGGTTTAACATCAGTGATCAGTCGTGTGGACGGCATCTCTCCCTCGTACCGTAGGATGGCAAGGGCGCTTCACCTCACCTCTGGTGTTCTTCCTCAAACCCACAGCCCAGTCTCATCCTGGGAAAAACAGGCAAAGCCAGCCTGAGGGACGTCCCACAGAACCTCTGACCGGCACTCCTGAAGACCGGGAAAAACGAGGGAAGCTGAGAGCCCAGCACAGACCGGAGCAGACTGAGGACAGAAGGTGACTCAATGTGACGTGGCATTCTGGAAGTGCCCAAAAAGCAAAAGGAAGTTGGCATTTCAAAAGCGCACAGGAACCAGCCCGAAAGGGTTGGAGCAGATAAAGGACATCAGTGAAAAAGTGGGATCTGAATATAGTCTGGACTTCAGTTGGCAGTAGTACATCCATGTTGGTTTCTTGGAGGTGACAAAGGTACCTTGGTAATCGAAGATGCTATGGGGCGATCAGGTGAGTATACAACAACTCTCCCATCCTTGTAACTTTCCTGTACGTCTAGAACTATCCTAAAATGAAGCATCCACTGAGATACATACATAGATACTCAGGTACTGCGTGCGGGATGCTGGCCGGTGGAGTGAGTAGGGAGTGAGTAACGGGAGGACCGGCTTTCCTAAACGCGGTTCTTCGTCTGCACACCACTAGGTGGCGGTAAGCACTCAAGGCAGGCCTCGGCCAGGCCAAAGCAGGGAAAAGGATTATTTCTTACGTAAGTGGTGTCATACCTGCCCCCCCTCAAAGACTGGAAAATTTTCCTAAGCCTTTATGTGGAAAAACCTTTAAGTACTCGCTCAGTGAAGGGCAGTGACTTCCTCTCTCGGTCGGTGACACTCCTAAAATCGTGTAATTAGCTTGTCAGAGAGGCCTGGCCTTGGCAAATGGACTGATCTGTCTACACAAGTGAGAACACTCTGAGCACTTCTGCTTCACGCCCCGCCAGAGCATTTCCTAACACTGCAAACTAGATGGTTTCAGAGATTAACTTCTGAAAGCCTGTTATTTCAGGGAGAAGGACATTTAGGTCGAAAGTCCTCCTCGGCCATCTTGG